GCAACGCTTTAGGTTATGAACCTGAAGCAAGAGCCTGCAGATATAATTATATAAATGAAGTGCAGCTCAGCCCCGTATTTTAAATGTTCAAATTTATTTATTTTAATTGATCCACCGCACTAATTTTTCAGCATTCATGTGTATGCTGTAAGTTTGAAAAGTATCGGTGGCTTAAAAAATAATAATAAAAATAAAAATGAAAAACTAGTTTGTAAGCGATCGTATGTTTACGATAAATCGTTTTTATAGGACAAACGATAAATTTTAACCGCAGAGATACTAATTGGATGCGCATGTCGTCGAAACGGCCATTACTGAGATTAGCAGCAGTCAGTGATTAAGATAATCAGTGATTAAGATAAGGTCTCGGAACCTGCCCTCCTTTCATGAAGATAATATCGAATAAAAATTATCTCCGTATTAAAGAATTATATAACTAATTATTAAGTTCATGAGTGTCCTCGCATACCTAATGAACAGAAATTTTTGCTGAAGGTTCTAAATTATTTTCACGAATCGCAAGATAATTTCAAAACCTAGAGCTTTCCTAATGAAATTTGGAAGGAAAATTAGAATCTTAGTTAGTTAAGCATCTCATGATTAGGTGATATTCGATTAATAGCAAGTAAAATTATGTACGTATTGATCATATCGTGAAAACAACAGCCAATATAAATGGAACATTATTTATTGAATATTTCTGCAAGCATGTTGAAAGTAACAAACAAATTGTGAGTGTAACATCTATAATGAGTTTATTTTTCGTAAAAATTCTCGAAGAGTTGGACGTGCCAGAACCATAGTGGTGGAATTTCGATCGTTTACACTATAAGAGATAATTTAGTAAACATTTATCAACGTGAACAACATAGTTTTTGACACTTTATTTGAAAGCGATTCACTTGAAGAGTTACTGAATGAAAGCGTTGGAACTGGAGCATTGTCATTAATAATGCGAGGCCTCCGGCACTTCCATGAGAAGATAAATAGATGATCATGTCCATGGAAAGCTATCAGAATGTGGATTAATCATCTAAGAATCTGTCAGCCTGATTACACATACTGTATAGGTATACATGATAATGACTAGGATTACTGTTCAGCATGACTTTTTTGGAATCGATATCGGCTTTGTAGAAAATATTGCAAATGACTGCATCTTATCTTAAGTTGTCTTTGAGAGGTATGGTGTATTGATCTAATTTCAGGAATCACAGGAGATTTAAAAATCAGACAGGTGAATGAGATATTAAACCGCAGATGATTTTAAATTTTACTACAAAATTACTTATATAAATATTTAATTAAGTTTTTTCATATATCACACTCCTTATATATAATAAAAATTGTGACAGTTTTCTGCAGAAATCTACATTTGAGTTAAGCAGTTAAAAATGCAAAGCAGTATTTTTCTTCTATGTACAGAGGTTTATTTCGATGCACCTAATAATTCTCATCCGGACAGACAGTTCTTGAGCGCAATTAGAATTTCCGCCGATTTGTCAGACACTTTATTTTGTCGTGAAGCATGCATGGCAATAGCCGTATAGCTCTTGGCTCAATTACCTTATGAACCTAGAGTAACCTTATGAACTTTCAGGCTGCTTAAATTCCGAAAGTCTTTTTTCTTAATCGGGCTCTTCCTCGCGCTGTGTTTTAAATTTGAAAGAAAAACATGTTTACGAACGCTGCGCGCTGTGCTTTAAACTTGAAAAAAATAATGCTTACCAACGCTGCGTATGCGCTGATGTAGAAGCTTGCCTACCGTTATTTCGTGGACAGATGCTTGGTTTTTGTAGCTCACGCCGTGCCGGTCTCGCGCAACCGTTAAAATATGTGTGTACAAGCCGGCTAAGACACCTCGATCTCATGTTGACTCTTACATGGAAATGACAGCCGTTAAATTGCGTTAAAGACGTAGTTTTTTAAAGTAATATCTGTGGTGTTGATTGGTGTTGATATTATAGGCACTTGTGGCTTTTTTAAGCTTTAGCTGTGTAGTTAAAGGTGATTACTGGGAACATTTACACTTAGATCCGAAGCTTCAGCGAAGTTTGTTGCTATCATTTCCTGTTAACTAACTGGAAACGTTCGATATGAATGAATATAGGTTAGATCTTGTTTTGGCTTTTCACTAGCTAGAAATCTTGAATAATTTCATCAAGATAACAATTATTTCGAACTATAAGCCTTTATATTTACGCATAAAAATGAATTTTCTATAGCCGACTGCTAGAACGCACACGGCGAGGAATTTGCAGAAAATCAGGATTCACACGTAGCTCCTTTTCTCCTTAAGATCAAGCGAAAGTCTTCACGAGAAAACTCGGGAAAGTTGAGTACCGTTCTACTACTTCTAGGTTATATTCAATAGCCTGTGAAATGGAACATATGGCCCATAGAATCCTGATCGAAGAATGCCAATACGCTAGTTTTTGATTGATTATCATTAGATAGGCTAGAAAAAAAGATTTAAAGAACTTTCCAATGAAATCACGCGATCAATCTTTACCAAAAAATAATAATTTATTGAAAAAATCACCTTTATCATGACCTTTTTCCAAAAAATGTCTTAAGTGTATAAAAAATTTCACAAACTCGATTCCTACGATTCTTATAGGTAATGATGTACCTTCTTTCATTACTTAACAAAGCATAAAAAGAAGTTTTTCCCTTTAAATTACCAGAAAGAAACAAATCAATTATTCAATACTCAGTCAGAAACGCCATCTGTTCTACGCCTCCGCCTCAGAGCGTAAACACGGATGACCCGAATATTTACTCGTCCCCACGTATACGGCCAAGAAACATCTGCCTCGTAGATTACACGGTGCCACTTGCAAAATTTTAAATTGTTATTGCAGCATTAGCAAAATTATTGTGAATAAGAAATCAGCGTTTAAAAGTAAATTTTTAAAGGAAAAACATAGAAATTAGCAGTCGAATATGAAAGAAAAATTTGCAGGACGTAAAATATTACAAATATATCATTTTATAAAAAATGTAAGCACATATTTCGAATGTTTTTTTAATTAATTTATACACTCAAATCTGATAACGTTTATAGTCTGACGCATTTAGTTGAGATGTAAAATACGCAAATTATACTCTTTGTCTATTGCAAGAAATATTCCTATCCCTGGGAACTGCAACGCACCTTAATAGTGATCCTAACACAACACAATTCATTTTTCATGCATTCTTAACTCGAGGTTAATGTTTGGCTGTCTTCAATTGAGATATAGAAGTCATTTTTCGATATTATTAAATATTTTAAGTTTGCCAATGCACTCAAATTTTAACTATCATTTACTGATGTAATATCGTTTGCATTTTCAACTGCGTTTCTTAACGCAAGATGTTACTCAAATGTGTTTTCTAGCTTCTGTAGCAGTCAGATTGTTCATTTCTACTCTATTCTTCTAGCAACGCCATCAACAATAAAATGTAATCATTGAATCTACTGTGGTTTGTGAACAATTAAATCTCTGATTTTATTCAATTTACCTCTCGTGGTTTTAATAGTACGGTTTCTTAGGGCTTAATCGGTATTTTATTCACAGCTTCGTAAATTAGAAATTTGAATATACTAAAGCATAACTAACCAGCTGAATCCTGAGTTACTCGCAAAGTTATGTATTTCTACTACATAATATTACCCAACATTCACTACTTCATTGGCAAACTCAAGTGCCAAAGCGAGGCAATGCAAGACTACTTCATTCCTTCTTAAAAAACGGTGATCAGGAATCCGGAATCTGATCAATCCGGATTTTTTCCTCCTCTTGCGTGATCCGCAGAGGAGGTTTTGCACGCAGAACCAATTTACAGAGCCTAATTTGCTTGCCAAGCTTTGTTCATACAAAATTTTTGTCCTGGTCTCTGTGAATAACGGACCCAGTGACCTGCCTTAATTACAAGTCTTCGGTCACGCAGCGTGCGTCTCGTAAATAGCGAGCCAAGTTTGCAGCGTGCTTGCCTGTCGTTGCTTTAGCTTGAACTCTTTTGCGATAACGTGTCATAATTAGCAGTTCGTGTCATTATGAACAATCGTGTCATTATGAACAGTTCGTGTTGTTATGAGTAGTTCGTGTCGTTCTGAGCAGTTCGTGTCATTGTGAACAGTTCGTGCATTATGAGCATCATATTCAATCTAAGGAATTTTGTTACGCATGCACACATTTATACATGACAAGATGGAGGTGGTAATTCTTGAAATTTTAGTTTTCTTGAATCCTCCTGTGAATTTGTGCGAGAGGGCGTATCTGGGGCGCAATGATTCCTCGAAATCAATATTACCAGATTTTTCTGAAGGATATTTATTGAAAAATTAACGCATGTCTGGGGTGATTTAAAAAATATGACTCACAGTGGAGTAGTAGATACTTCCAAAAACAATTCAAGTTTTTACATTACTCTAATATATAAACATCAATCACATCATTGCACGAACTGACGTTCCATATGTGTGTAGAGCGTCTAGACGCTATATTTCATACGCATCTTTGTTATTTCACTTATTTGCATGTAACAAATATTTGCATCGTTAAGTTGATTTGCATGTAAAATGCATGCAGATATTTCGCTTGTTGAATGGGCAAGGGGAAGAAACTATGTTCAAGCAGAAGCAACAGTTCTCCTCCCTGAAGTCAGTTTGTAATTATCGACTCCATTATTCGGAATAAAACGCATTCTTTTACCGATTCTAACGATACATGGTAAAATATAGGGGAGGGAGACAGTTAAGTTGTTTTTCTCGTTCGCTAATTTTTGCAGAGAGTAAAAATTTACGTCCTGTAAAATTTTTTGTGTTATATGAGTGAGTATGTTTTCTAAGTATGATAGTTGAGAGTTAGTGTGTTTAAGTAAATAAATTGTAAAGTGCAAAAAAATGTTTGTTTTTGAAAGAATGCCAATGCGTATTTTCATTCTTTATCCAGTTTATAATTTTTCCACTGACAATTAGAAAACAAAGATCTAATAATTTATTTTTATTCCAGGCTTTGTGTTGCTGACGGCCTTCTTGGCAGTTAGTAGCCCACTGGAGGTTCTCGAATCTTCTTTCAAGCGCATCGGGCAAATCTCGGGAAATGCTGCCGGAAGATCTTTAACCAATCGCAACAAGCAGCCATTCGAAATTCTCGAGCAGTCCTTCAGGTACATATCTCCTCCCGTACAACAACCGAGGATGTACTCGTCGAAAATTCAAGATCGAATTGAAAATCAGTATAATCATGCAGGAGACAATTCGAAGAAAACGGTCTCAAATTGGCGGTTTACGTCACTGCCCTCACGTGATGGACCTTCCTCAGTTTTGGAGTACACTGGCGATAAAACACAGCGACCCTCCATATCAACAACTCAACAGCCAGACAAGAGCCCACCAGTCTTCGTCCGATTAACTCCGTCGCATAGAAATTCGAGTTCATCAACTTCTGACTCTAATAATCCTTCTGTAGTCATTCGATCACTGCCTTTTTCGACGAAGCCTTCATTGGAAACGTCAACCTCTAATTCGAAGCCAGAGTTCTCGACTCTCAGGTCATGGATGGAAAATAAGGCCAAAAATCAGGCTCAGATGATCGAAAACAAAGACATATTCGCCACTTCAACTGAAGTAACGCCAACAGTGCCTCGACGTTTCGCCAGCCCTAGGAGGCCGTTTAATATTCAAAGACCTTGGGGTAGTTCCTCGCCGAAGATTGAAGAATTAATTGCACCAAAAAGGGTTGAAATTAGCATTGATAAAGTAGTTTCACCGCAAAAGAAGACATCAGCCCCACCTACTCGAAAATCGATTGCAGAAGTTATTGGTAGCCTTGATAATAACTCACATTTGAAGTCAAAGCTTGTGACTCCATCACTGTTTTCTCCCACTGTGACACCTGTTCATGCGCCAGTTGAAATTTCTGTGCTCAGAAGTCATCTTGCTGACAGCAAATCACATGGAGCGAGGAAAGTATTGAAGGACAAACTCAGCCCGGGCAAGGAAGATGTCGATGCTAATGTTCTTATTAATGTTTTTGCCCACGACAATCAGCAAGATTTGAAAAATACCAACGCACTGCAGCCAACTAAAACAAGTCCTAATCCTGTAGCCAGCGGCTCCAGGGTTCAATTCCAACCAGTTCTTCCTGGAGAGGTAAATATCCTTAGATTGCCAATCAGGTACCCAAATGGGGATAAATCATCATTTAATGCTCCTCCTTCTTCAGTAGGGGCTCCACCTAGCAGGAGTACTGCAGGGGTAAAACCTCTTCAGTACATCATTCAAAGCAAGCCAACAAAAACAGAGGAAGCATTTAGCTTCCAAACACCAACTCCAGTCAAATTTATTGAAGATGGTAATGATGGTAAGACAATTGAGGGTCCAAAACGAACGAGTGATGTTATTCGGTTTTCAAAAAGTCCCATTTCACATCATAAGACAAAATATATCAGCCCTGGCTCACAAGATGGAAAAAACACTCCGATCCCGTTGTTTGGGGAGATGAGTGTCACCCAAACAGTAAATGGGGGCTTTAGTTCCTCAAAAGTATCGGAGCAGCATGATAAGAACCCCGTTGATGAAAATAAAGAAGCTAAGAACTCAACTTCTGTGCGCAACAAATATCTTAGAAGGCCTCATTCTCTAGAGACTCGTGATGAATTGTCCCTGAAAGCTGATGGGGTGGCAGTTATGACATCCACGGAAATAATATCTTATTATGAAAAGCTCAAACATGATATTTATGACATTCTTAATAAAATTCAAACAAATCAACAGTTAGAAGCTCTCAAGTTAGCTAATGAAAACAAACTGAAAGTGTCAGATGTAGAGCTACAGATTAAGAGCCCGGATCACACTCTTAACTTTAACTATGGAGACGAAGACAAGCCTCCTCAACTAGATATTGCTAAGGTTCTGAGCATAATAAGAAATTTCAAGGATAGAACTACAGCCAAAGAAGTTTCTGAATCCACTATGTATAATATTGCTGAAACTATCTTAAAACATATCAATGAGAAAGAGAGATCTTCCTCAATTAAGACCACCCCAATTAATTATTCAAAGGAGCAGCAAAACTACGATACTGTAACCAAACCTCCTGACGCTGTAGATATAGACTCTTCAGAGTATGACTACCATTACGTATACTATGATGACAAGGGAAATAAATTTCTGCCTGAAACTTTTAACCTGTTTGATAAGAAAAAAATAATTTCGCCTTCTGATGAATTCACGCAGGCCTTCCTTGCAAAGCACACATCTAAATTATCCGCAATGCTGGCAGAGGTTCTTCAAAATGATGCAAATAACAAAGCCACTTTAATAAATCCAATCGAATTTTTGGAATCAGCGATTTCAAATCAAACTACTGAAACACCTCATAGCCAAAAAAACAATTTTCAACCAAATTTGTTGCTTAATCATGCCGATAAAATAATAACAACTAGCAATAGACCAACAACAAATGATAGACCATCAACAAACGATAGACCAAAAACTAACAATAGACCAACAACAAACGATAGACCAACAACAAGCACTAGACCAATAGAGTCAGCAAACGACGCTGATATTTTTACATCGACGATTGCTGCGCCTGTTTTAGAAGAATTCGGCTCCTTTGAAACTCCTTCTACTACAGAGTTCTCGATTACCGACCTGAGTACCACGTTGAAATATGAAACTACGACCGCGCCAGCAAAGGACTCTCCAGTCAAAGAAACGACGAAAAGACGAAATTCTCAACCTCCGGTTACACATACGAAAAATACTCTTTTTCTAGACAGCCCACCGAGTGAAACAACAATAAAAACTGAGATCATTCCAACTACTGAGCAAAATCAATTTCCACAGCAGGTTAATCAGTTATTCGGACATCAACAGCCTCAAAAAACGAGAGTAAAAGTAATTTATGAGAATAAACCAGAAGAGGATAAGGAGGTCAGTGCGCTAAAATGTTTGTACAAAGTTTTACGCATAATACGAGGTTCAACTAAACATTAATTAAACATTAGTAACTATATGATACATACATCTAAAAATTGTACAAATATAACAATAACGCTCACTTGAAACACCCCAATACACAATTAAAAATTTCAAATGTAAATAATGGCCACTACATTTGGATCCTCATTTTCACTTGTCTGGTCAAACCTTAACAATATTTTAAGATGATGAACAACTGGAAATAATGAGGAACACATTTTAGCCAACGACAGGGTAATAATGTCTCTGGATTTCAATTTATGTAACATTGGTTTCCGGTTGTAATTGAAATTCTAAGAAAGTTTCCATGTCAAACATGGAGCCATTTAAATCACAACGTATATATCAGAAGTTAAAAGGTTTTAAGGTGTACAATTCGATACTACTGGGGCATCTTAGACAAACATAATAAATATTTAAGTGTAAATCATATGGTTTGAGAGCTGCGTTGGTGTCAAACAGGAATGGACTTACTTTTTGTCATGTGGAAACGTGAATAAGATGCATGAATTCTGGTTATTCTGCCTATTCCCATGAGATATATGCATAACTTCACATATCTTCATCCATGTGGTCTGGGATAAAAAGGTTTATATTGAGTAGAAAAATGCCATCGAAATTCATATTTTAAAATTATTCAAAATGTCGTATGAGTTGTAAGTTCATGTAAGTATTCAAAGATATAAATATTTCCGTGTTGACTATAAAAATCTGCATCATAAGCTGATTTCAATTGTGATTACACCAACACGTTTATGCGCTTTCTTGATACAGTCCTACGATATTACAGTTGGTGTCTAATTTTTGTACATTTTTTCTACAGATGGGGCAGGATGGGGGAGCCTATTGTGATGTACTTCGGGTTTAATCTAAGATAATTAAATCTATAACATTAAAAGGAAAAACAGAAAATTTTGATATCCTAAAAATTCATTAACATAATTAATTATCTTCATACCTCTTATAAATTTTCATAATTTTTAAATCAGGCCACCGTGATAGCATTAATTAATAAGTAACTGTACAGACAAATACGTTCCGAATAATATCATCATTAGTTAATTATTTACTATTCCTCAAGGATCAAGTCTTAATGGGATGTTCAATCAACATGCATACGTCGCATTCAACGTTGATTTACCCATTAGACTTTAGATCACTCAGTTAACGTATGAAGATTTTTCAAACGTCAACTGACTGATCTACGAGGAGGTTATGTAATTGAGAATTTTTAATTGTAAACAAAAATACTCACTAAAATTTCTATCGTTGCCTCAAACTGTTCCATAGTTTTAAATAGTACAGTTAAAATACATTATAAACTCCAGTTGTACATTTATAATCTAATTTTACAGAACGTATTAACATTGGTACTAACATCTGGGCAACGTTCAGTCACGGCTCACAAGTTTCGTGGAGGTATAATGCTGGAATATTTGATATATTGAAATATGACGGGGTTCCCGCTATTTTTTCCATTTAGTTTGGTAACCCTGGTGCCGGGTCTAAGGTCTTGCCACATCCTGGAGCTGGCAACTCTGCGCTGGAAACCCTGGCTGGAGCTGGCGCTGTGGCACTGATGGCTTATGGCATATCATACGCATTGCCTTTAGCGGCTCCGCTCATAACCCGGTGAGTCGACGGATTATCAACAACTGAATATTTATCTCTACATTGTCTACGAATAAGTCAACCGTCATTAATGCTATTCGGATCTAAAGGCCTGGTAACGGGAGTTCTTGCCAGAAGACCATCGCTTAATTAATTTAATTCTAATGGATACATTGAAATAATCAATGCTATTCATATGTAAAAGCCTGACCGTTAATAAAACAATGGTTTAAAGGGAAAAATTAAGAGAAGCCAAATATTCTGCATGAATTTTCACAATTTCTATGAATTGCACATTGCCGATGGCAGCCTCTTTAGGGTACCAAGAAATCAGACGGTGACTGAGTATATAATCGTAATGTTGCCTAACGTAAAAATACCCCCGAGCGCATGAACGTCCATTAAGGAGTATGAAAGTTTTGGTAAAAAAATATTTCCTGACCAGTTATTTTATTGCTATCCAAATCCTACCTTTCTTCTTCCCGGACAATTATTTAGTCTCTTAAGATTTATCTTGACTTTCATTAGCAGACCGTGGCATGAGGTCACATCGATGACCCACGCGAAAATTTTACTGTAAAAATTCTTGGATATTTGGCCATGAGATATTTGCGAAGGAGGCACACGTAACGCACGAATTTCTTTAATTATTATTTCATCAAAGCATTTTACTGTAAATGAACAAAAAACAGATTTTCAGAAATAACTCCTTCTGTGGATCCATTGTGCCGTCAGAGATGTAAAGAAATCAGATTCAGATTTTTGGATATATATTTCAATTGGACGTTCCCATAAACTTGTATTATAGTATCTCATCCACACGGTCATCTTGTATTCTAGATTTAGTTAAATGAGTTGGCTAATGCGGTGTTTTTACCCTAACTTAAAATGAGTTGACTAATGCGGTATTTTTGCCCTAACTTGAAATGAGTTGGCTAATGCGGTATTTTTTCTCTAACTTAAAATGAGTTGGCTAATGCGGTATTTTTTCTCTAACTTAAAATGAGTTGGCTAATGCGGTATTTTTACCCTAACTTATATCATTGTTTTCCAGACGTGAAGGATCTTCTGGGGAAACTCCCATTTCCCGGCTCATGAATTGGCTCGACAGCTCGAGATCCAACAACAAGAAGAAGAGGAGGAAAGATTTCAAGAAAAATACGCGCTACGATTCTGGTGAGATTTTGGGAAGGGTTTCGTTTTAGACTTTTTGGTGATATTTCACATTCATATTGTTTCAAGGGAAAATTTTGAAATCTATGAGGAAACAGTTAAAATGAGAAAATTTTGGGGGTACTTAGAGCCACTGATGGCGTTTCAAATTTTTTGATAGAATACTACTATTGTTTTCAGTATATTTTTTTTTCTATGCATTAGTGAGAATAATTTTTACGCTAAATCAAGAGTAATTTCAAGTACCTCAAACAATACAGAATAAAAACGACAATTAATGCTAAAAAATATTTTAATCCGATTTAATACCCAGAAATAGATGATGCAATGTTCAAATAGTGACACCCTTTCTCAGCGCATTGCCATTCTACTTGGCTGAACTTGGTCAGGGTAACGCACAAAGGGCAAAAATGCATCGCTATTTAGACAAATTTTCACTCTTTTTATCTTAAATATGCTCAAATTATTGATTAATATCTATTTTCAGGCATACCTCTGACTGCAGTGTCCAACAGAACGGCTTCCTATCTATATCCAGACTACTACGATTATTACGCAGAATACGTTGACGTCGGTGAAGCTGAAATCAACAAACCTGTTCCAGCTTACGTGGACTATGAAATCGAACAACCCGAGGAGATTCCTACTAGATATCGTGGTGATTTTAAAGACACCATTCCATACGACGATGATACATATCCGTTCCCTTCCAAATTCAGCAACATCGCCAAGTCTGTCGCACCAAAAGATGGGGGACAGAAAGCTGAGGAGCGAAACACCGACGCAGCTTTGCCTCCTGGCAAGCACATCGGGTCTGATTACTATAGTTTCGGATACGACCCAACAGATGGAGCGATCGGTGATGATCCCCCTAACGAAAGTGCTATTTTCGGGAAAGTTACCTACGAATATGACTTTACAAATACTCACATCAACCCCGCAGTTGTCGGGAAGGAAACTCGGTCAGAATACTATGCGTTTCCTCCAGGACAGACTGCAGGTGCCACTGAAAGAGAAGGTTCAACCGCAGGAGCAGCGGTTAGTAAACTCGTTTATCTTAGACTTCCGCTGATATTTTGGAAATAATGAAGTATATTTATAAATACTACTTTCAATTTTTGTGCCATTGAGGTTTGAATGTAATTCAACGTAAATAAGGAACTGATGATGCCCTGATATTTTAAATTAATCGCAACCAGTTTTTAAATTTAACTGTTGTTATTTTATTTGCTCCTCAGGTTTCGCCAGGCGTGGCAGTAAGACCCGGAATTCCTGTCCCGTTGAGACCTGGACCTAAATCAAAGCCTCCGCAATCCACTAATTTTTTCTCTAATATTTTTTCTCTTGGAAACATTTTCAATCGAAGGACGGAGAGAGTAAATCGCCCTCCAAAGCCCCATAGGGTTCATCCGCAAAAACCCATCGTTGTAAGAAATGCTCGAATTTTCCCTAAAGTACCATCAAGCAAAGTGGATACTTCAGACAATCATCAGTACGCTCGACAGTCCAAAGAAATAAATAACATCTTATCCACAATTGACGAACACAGACCACTCATGACGTATTCAGAAGATCGATCGGATATACGGAGGAAAAATACAGGAGTTCGACCAAAGATTGACGAAGAGCTGTTCTCCAAAAAGAGGGAGGACAACATTCGAGTTGGAGGAGGTGGCGTTGCCCTGTCTTCAGATACATCCAAGATCGGAGGTGGAGGTTTTCGATTGCCCTCACTGTCGACTCCGACTAAGATGGCTGGGAACAGAAATCCTCAGTACCCTTCATACGTTTCCTTGGAACAGTGAGAAACGGAAAGAGGGAATAGAGGAGGTTTTTTTTAGTATGTGCTCTATTCACTATTTCGTACTTCCATTTGTTTGATAGGTTTGAAATTCAGACGCCAAATAATATGATTGATTGGTACAAAAACTATTCACTTATTTCACATCGATGCTGCTGACATTAGTCCTAGAATTTTGAGCAAGTCCACTGGTAATAACTTGAATGCATTTGATCGAGCTACTACTTGGATTCACGACCGTGATATTTCATAGCCAGCCGAGACTCGAACTCACGACTTACTACTCTATTTTAGTAGCTCTCAATAACACTTTCATGAGGAATTTAATATAATGAGATGATAATCACATTTTCACTGCTCTTTAATTCCAGAGTTAATCGTCTGGCAGAAGAAGAGATGGCAGGCGTGGTGAAAGGTTATTCGCATCGGTTAGACGCCCCGTGGTCTCCTCCAGAGGAAGGCGACATCTTTCCCCGTCCCATTGACCTGACAAGCGCCGGCAGTAAAGTTAATTTATTTGATGAAGCGGATTTGAATCAAGGTTATCACTTGAATGCTGATAGCACCGATTACATTTATAAGACCAGAGATAGTGCATATACAAATGTGAACGCAAATCATGGAGTCGAATCTAAACCAGCGACTTTACGAACCTTGGCTCCCGATTATAATGACTTCGACTATGTTGATGTCAGGGGCAGCAGCGCAGATGTTGAAAGTAAGCGTACACTTTCGACATATGAAAGTAAACCTGATAATCGATAAAGTTTATTTTATGTTTCATCCGCATTGTTATCATTCGAATGCATGAATATTTGTCTACTAGTTTCAATCACAAAAATTGAGACATTCATCCTCTTAAAGTGGAAGCTGCAATCTAAATGCAACAGACGAATTTTATGATGAGTTTTCCCCCTTCGACAAATAAACTAATAAACATAGCTAAGATAAACTTGCATGCACTTCCATTGCGGAAAACCTAAAAACTGTAATTTTCTTAGTAGGGTTTCAGCTTAGATTTATGTGGGTGAGCAGATAACACAAAAAATGATTGTTTTGAGCTTTACGCTCCAGTGATAACAAGCAATTAATAAACAGAATGGCGTATCAACGTGCAACCTGTGATGTCAGTCAGTGATGCAATTCACTCAACAGTAGAGAAAAATCAAGAAGTGAACGAGGTAATTTTTCTAAATAGGAAATTGGTAATGGTTTTAGATATTACTTTTCACGACATTTTTTGCTTGCGACTATCGTAATTTTCGGAATGTTATCTTTTCAGATCGATAAATTTTTTGCCGTAAGTTATTGTAACTTAAAAATTTCTCTTTAGGCTTACATAATAATGTACAGAGCGCGGTTTAAAATAAGTTATTTATTTATTTATATACTTGTTACAAATGTAGTGTAAATGAATCTTTGGTGTGCTTGGCTACTGATAATTAATATCTAAATTATTAGTAGAACAATTAATGTGTAGGAGGTTGAGAATAACATCTCGATACTGCCTCGAAAATTTTTTGTTATAAGAATACATGTTTAACATGAGATAATATATATTTTCTTATCCGCAGTGATCGTGAGCCTCAAACCGCAGAGCGTTATTGCGTGAAATGCTAAGTTTTCATTGTTTTTTTTTATAGTTTTTTTCATTGTCAAGTCGACAATGATAGCTGTCTGATGACTAGCTGCCGATAAACCATAATCTCGGATTTATTGAGATAAAAAATCATCTAACCGCTAAAAAGCAAAAGAAAAAAAAGTAAAAAATCAGCTAAAATGAGCGAGCAAAAGAGAGGATAGCATGCGCCTCAGTTTTTGACACAATGAAAGAAACCCAAACTGAGGCCAAAAAAATTTTCTCCATCGAGAAAATGACGTTCAGATTTGAAATCTACAGATAGATATCCTCGTTTCAAATTTATTTAATTAACTGAAAAACGAAAATCTTGTCCACAGGTTCATTAAAGGTAAACGATTCGCAGTGATATACCTTATATTTTGATGATGTATAACATATAAAAAAATAATTTAATTATCTAATCTAAATGATAACGTTTTTAAACTTCCTTGGTGGTGTGACACTGTCATGGTAACGTTCATAATTCTATCGTCCCATAAATTGGACAGATTACTAATTGCTTAATCATTTTGCTGGAAAAATTGTGTTTTAATTCTTACTGAAAGACCATTGATAAAATTAATTTGGAAACGAAGACTATTGGAAAACCTCATAAAATTTTGATTTCGGATATATTTCATTTAATACCAACGTTGGTTTCATCAAGCCATTCTAAATTTCTAAATGTAATAACATTACATTTTAATTTCAAAAAGATAAAAAGTAAAATATTTCTGGTTAGTTAATTAACGAAGTTATTGTTACGTTTCATGAACAATGTATTCATATATTAAAAAGTCATCAAGAAGGATGATTCGCTGGGACTGATTTTCTTCCAAACATTGCGAGCCTTTGTTGTTTTTCCCATTTTTTGAGCTCACGTTGAACCCGAAATTTTTACCGACTTCAAAAGAGTTTTCTATTTGACGGTTAACGGGAAAAATGTCGTTTCTTTTTCTGCATACTAAACAAATTTTCTTGCACCAAAATGAGAAAAGCACGACTTGCATTAAAGTTTGAAAGATAATTGTTTAATTGTTAACAAAAGGATCTCTTTTGAAGTGTGATGACCGATTCTTCACATTCTCGTTTCGAACCGTGGATTTAGACGTGTGAAAAGTCACGGTAGTTACTTTTATTGGCACACCAGATGGTCCTTCAACGAAGTATTCGTTCTCGGTAACTTTTGCTCCTTCTGGAATATTTTGCTTTCTAACTTTGGATTTTTTAGGGATAGCGAAAGAAGGTTCTTTTGGAATTGTAAATTGTGGCTCCTCTGGCTCAGGGTAATTTTTTTGCTTCTTTTCCTTAGGTTTTTCTTTGATTTTTTTCTTATAGTCAATTACAAATTGGGGTTCTTTATACTCAAAGTCTTCATCTCCGAAGTCGAAACCTGGCAGTTCATAATCATCTCTCATTTCCGGAAAATCATCCACTGTCGGTAAAAGAGATTCATAATCAACAGGCTTTTTCGTTGTTGTTTTGGGAGCTTCGTGTACTTGATTCTGAATAACATGACTTTGATGGAGAGGCGCATGAGTAGGTTGCACCAGATGAGGTTGATAAGCAACATTTGCAGGTGTATTCTGAATCACTTGTTGATTTTGAGTAAAAATCGGGGTTGGGTTTTGCTGCTGATATTGAGTGTTATATTGGTTAATGGGCTGAGGTAGAACCAGCTGATTGAAAGGATGGTGGATAATGTGCTGATGGTCTTGTGGTAGTCCTGTTTTCTGGTGGATATGCTGCAAGGGGGGATGAGTTGGCTGCTGGAACTGCTGTTGTGTCTGATGGATCGGAACAGGTGCATTGGTCGGCTGTGTAACGACTGCATTCGCAGGCGGTGGATTGCGTTCTCTTGGCAACGCTGTGGACCGTAATGGAGACACGACTGTTTTTTGGACATTTTGCGGAGAAATAGCATTAACTTGATGACCAACATGGTTTCTAATAGGAATCTGAACTGTACGTCTAGCAAAATCCACCACGGGAATGTTTGCATGCGTCACCACCGCGGCGGGAGTAGATTCTGTAACAACCCGTGCGCGTTGTTGAATTTGGTTGACTCGAACTGGTGACAAGTTTCTCACGTTTGTAGGTGGTGAAATAGGCTGGGCCACTGCTACAAGTTTTGGATTAAGCCTCTGTCGAAAAGACTGTGTGGGTTTTGTGGGTTTCACGACACTGGAGTGCTCTTTAATAACTCTTATTGGTATTTTCTTTAATTCAATTGTTTTTGGCGAGTTGGTTTGAACAGAAGACACGGGAGATCCTTCTCCAGATATTGCTGTCGTATCAGGAGTTGTGGAGGCGTGGCTTGAAGATTTTATTTCAGGTGTTGGCACGGCATTCTGCCTCGCCCTCGCACGAGCTCTGATGAGTTTCAGCAATCTTTCGCGCTGAGCACCATGCCTTCTGCGGTCAGTTTGCAAAAGGCTTGCATCCAATTGTTTGAGTGATGGCTGTTCATTGTCAATAGCATTCAATGTTTGATCAGATTCGGACGTCGAAATCGTAGGTTTACTTTCTTCGAGTGGTTCTGAATCCGTTTCTAAACCAATTTTGGCAGGTTCGTGACTTAAGGCATTCAGAATAGTAGGTGGGGTGGATTTTCCGTAATTTGGAAGAGGTAATATTTTCCTTTGCCTCGAACTAACTCGGTTTTGCAACCGAAGTCTTGCACTGAGACTTTTTGGCTTCGTTTCATGCCCTTTAGATTCTACTTGAGCGGAATCCTTACCTAACTCGCGTAAAGTATCATTTGATGTAATTGTTACGCTTAAAATGGGCAAAGTTGTTTTTTGTGTTTCGATTGCGTCAGCAGACGCTTCAGGAGCTTTGATGTCAGTCTTCAGCACCTCCGGTGGTTGTGTAATAACGTCGCCAGTTGATGTAGCAGAAGAATTAGTCTGAACTTCACCTACTTCAGTATCCGCCATGTTATTTTGCGTGCTTCCGGTCCTCAAAGGTCTCCTTCTGTTCAACAACATTTGCCGCATTGTTCGTAAGCGGTCGTTATGATTTACATTTTTGTCATTTGATTCCATTTGGTTAACAGCCAATAGTTCTTTGGCAGGAGCTTCTTCATCCGATGCATTTTGCACTCGTCTTCCTCGTAAACGTCGTCTCTCAATAGTGGACGGGGAAGCTTTCGACGGCTTTTCTGACGTAGTGCCCATCTCAGTAACGGCTTCATTGTTGTTAGGCACTTTCTTTCGATATTTTGCTTGAGCAGTCTTGGTGAACGCAGAAATTTTTTCATTTAGTTTAGTCCCATTACTTATTCTAGCGCGAGGCAACATTAGCCCTGGAATTGTCATTCTAGAACGTGACCTTCTCTTTGCTATGGATTCATTTTTCTCGTCGGCTCTGTTTGCTGGAATGCTTTCGTTCTTGAGTGATTTTTCAGAAATAATTGGCTTGACTGTCGAAATTTCTGGAGCAGCGTCAATTATGTTACTTTCTTGAAGAATTTGAGGAACTTTTGCGATGTCAGTTTGTTCATTAGATGTGGTCGCTTCAACAATTGACGACGACTCAGCTGATATATTAAGAGTCTTATGTGCAGTGGCAGCTTTTGTGGCATTTGCTTTGTCATCAAGTGGTTTTTTTCTGTATCGCTGTGGCATATAAAATACTGGCCTACTTCTAGGTCTGAAATCCTTTACAATTTCGTTCTCATGGTGCTTATGCAGTTTTGTATTCCTGCGAGTGCGTTCAATTTGCTTCGTCTCTGACGGTTCCATGTCGTCGACATTTAAAAAACGTACATTACTGTTATTTTTCAGTTGAGGCGATGGATTCAGCCCAATATAAATGAATTCAATCACGTCACTTGTTTTGTTTTCAGGCTGAGCCGTTGATTTATCTGGGTGAACAATTACTTTTTTCTTCTCGGGTGGAATAAAAAGAGCATCCAGGCCTTTTTCAATAGCTTCGGAAACCATTTCAAGAGTGATGCGATCTCGTTTATTAAGGCCATATGGAATTTGGGCACTGTTTGACTTCGTACCTGGCAAAGAAATGACAGTCCCATTGTCCGAAGCTTTTTTCAAAATGGAAAAGAACTTCAGGTATTGGGGTCTTGTCTCAACTATACTAACTTTTTTTGTAGGGCTATCATGAGCCTTCTTTTCATATTGATTCACTTGTACTGTCGAACCCTCAGAAGATTGATCAGTTTCTTCACTTTTCAAGTTTTGTGGCATCAATGTTGTGAGCTCAGGTGTAGTAGTGGTAACTGAGACGAGCTCTTCATCATTCTGAGACGTTGTTGAATTTGCGGCTCTTGATGTTTTATTCATAGTTGAATATCCCTTATTTTCATTCGTCTGTGATTCAGAAACTAGATTGTCAGTTTTATTTTCAGTTGGAAACTTGAAAGACGTTTCTTGAACAAATTCATAAATTTCAGATTCTTCTATTGCGGAAAAATTGTCACCAAGTGTTATCTTTTTCATACGAATGGCGTTGATTACTGGAGATGAATCATTATGAGCGACCAACCTTTCACTACCATTCCCTACACGTGCATCACCTGAATCGTACGTGTCTCTAATTCCAGCAAAGTGTTCACCCATTTCCGGAAAAGCAGATTCCGAGAATATGGCAATTTTTTCATCCGATTGGTTCTTTCCCCTTCTATTACTAAGAATACTTTTAGGAAAATTTTCATTTCCGTCGGAAGGTATAATGGGATTCAACGTAAGAGGATCGGTCAGTGAATCCTTCAGTGGATTAACTTGATAGTTCATTTTATCTGTTCCGTTGTTATTCTTCTTGTGATTTTGGGTTTGCCTGAGGAGATTTCTGTGGTTTACTGTGTTTTCTAATAGCTTGTTGATTCTTTTGGATCTCTCAGTTTTGATGGCTTCATTTTCCGTATTTTTTGTCGTGTTTGCTTTTTTCTTGGCTTCATTGGTCTTCTTTGATACATCACCTCCCCCTATCGTGTCAAGTAGATCTTTTGTTTCAGTTTCTGTTTGTGGTCGAATATTTGCCAAAGCATCATGGGCTGCCGCCGGCAATGATTGTTCAACGTTGTTTGTCGAGTTCAAAGTAAGTCGGTCAGCGCCGGTACTATTGTTAATTTCCTCGTTGAATATAGAATCACTGACTTTAGCCAAAGTTTCATTTTTTGTTGAAATGTTAGCTTTTTCCATTTCAGAAGCACTAATGTCTCCATTTGGTTGGAACACCGTAATTTTTCCCTGTTTTTCTTCTATCTTTACCAATGCAATCTTGTCTCCTTGATCTGAATCATCTTTAGTTTTTACTTGTGTTTGCTTGGGTCGCCTAATCGCGCTCATGAGTTTTAGAGTTGGTGATGGTCGCGGCGCCTTAGGAGGACAGCTAGGTCTGGGGCAGCAGCCAGGATAAGGTAGGATCTGCGATGGGTGCAAGACGGTGCATCCTTGGGGCAAGTTGGCGGGAATCGGGGGACATCTGAAACGTTCAAACGGATAAAAATATCGATCTTTTACGTTATATTTTTCGGTTTGTAATTTGGAACGACTGATAGAGCAATGCTTCTTAGCTAATGAGAAACGACGAATCGGGGGACTTCTTGGATTTTGCACGTTTACTAGGAATTTTCTTGCAGATTTAATTTAGTTCAAGTGAAAATTAGCAGTAAATAATTACCTAGACAACAAACATTGATTATTTGAGTAAACTTCTATTATTTGATTTTTAGAAAAGCTTTGAATTTTATATGGATTCAATCAATTGTTGAGGTTCAGTGGAAAGCTTTCGCGTAACAAACTTTATGCTTGAGGAAATGGTTGGTAAACCGAGAAAAACTTACGTTTTTTCCAGTAGATAAGGAAATCCCCGCTCTGATCGGCAGAGCATTTTTCTGCAGCCAATCCAATGGATGGCTTGACCGACGCTCATCTTGCCGTACGGCGTTGAGCAGACTCCTGCTGCACCAGACCGCTTCACGATCGTGTTCCCTGAGCGCAAAGTCAAATCTTCATGTATTACTTCGGTATTTTGTTGATTTAAGTGGAAAATACTTTATTATGCTAATAAAACTTAGTATTTAAATAAATATGCTAATAAAACTAAGTATTTGAATAAATATGCTAATAAATTTTAGTATTCGAATATATATAAGGTAATAAAATTTAGTATTTAAATGAAAATGCTAATAAAACTTAGATAAATTTCTAATGCGATTGAGGATTAAACCGATATTTCTCCAAGGTTGAGGCAACTTCAAAATTCAAAGTTATTGTTACTTATTCATATGAGAATTACATACATAGGCTTCTTACTTAGATTGTTAATCATGTTAGATTAGATTAATAAATCATATAATAACGCTTGGTAAAGTTAACTAAAAATTTTAATGTTAATATTTATTTTATATGTTATAGTTTACATTAGTTTTTTGCAACGATGTGGAGCAATTTAGATTTCATAGCCAATTGTTTGTTGTAGGCACGCACTGCGTTCTGCTTCACTATGCTTGACTGAAACTACGGTTCTTAAAGCGGTGTTCTAATATTTCCAAAACAATTCTGGCAACAAAAAACAATGGAACAAATGATTTTTTCTATCGTGAAGACAAACTGCCCCACCTCCTTCGACCTATTGCACGCTCGGTAGCATGAAATTTGCCTCACGTACACAAGGTATTGTTATTTCTCAGCATCCGCCATGATGAAAATACTGGACCGTCTGCTTGAGTGAACACGATCAGAGAACACTATAACCCTAACACAAATATTTTAAATTCACGGTTCATAAAATGCCAGAAAAAGAAATGTGAAACATTATAAAAAACAATTATTGTGAGTATAAATGATTTATTCAATATTAGGATGTATTGTGCATTTACAGTAGAAATTCAACTCCTAACTTTGAAAAATGATTGTAACGGAATAATCAACGAAAAAGATTCAATGTCTAATAATTTTTTTAATTTTATCATCCTAGGTTGTCTAATTAATAGACGAATCAAAAATATTTCGTTGTGATTATTTATTGTCGTACATAATCAGGAACTGGTAAATTTACCTTCGATATGTTATATTTATTTCTAGCTCATACCTTCATCTTTCGATGGAGCTTGTGCTTCCTTATGAAGATCCCGAGGAAACGATCGATAAGGGATTTTTGTTTCCAACTTTTTGTTGTTTACGTTTTTACTTCTCACGTGGTCGTTGTCGTTGTTCTCGTTTCTGTTGCTCTCATTTTTGTTGCTCACGTGTTCCTTGTTCTCGTTTTTTATGCTCTCGTTCTTGTTGCTCTCTTTTTTGTTGCTCTCATTTGTATTGCTCACTTGTTTGTTGCTCTCATTTTTGCTGCTAATATTTATATTGCTCACGTTTTTGCTGCTCTCATTTTTGTTCTTCAGGTTTTTATCAAAATTTTCCATGGACGATGAAACACTCGAAGTCATCGAAACCTTGATAACTGGAAGTGTTTCTGTTGATGTTTCTGAACCACTTACTGTATCCAACGACAAAAATTCTAGAGATGAAACCTTTGTCGCATCCTCGATTACTTCATCGCCATTCGAGACCAGAATCGCGGCACTAAGTGGAACTGTGGCAAGCTTCTTTGTTATAATTTCTACTTCAATAACAGGCTTTTCGGTTGCATTGGTAAAATTGCATCCTTTAGTATCAGGAGGGATCGGAGGAGAAGGTTGAGTTGTAATATTTTTAATGATGCCAAGATTTTTTTCAAGTTCTTTTGTTGTAACATTTTTGCCGGTAGTGAAAGGCAAAGATGCGACAAATATCATAAAAAATAGGTTTTGTATTATATTCATGCTAATTTACCAGCTAATAGATATTACTATCTCTCTGAACTTGATAATAAAACTTTGATAAATGAACGATCACAGAGTAAAAATTTTTTTTTCTTCAGTAAATGAAAAAGATCTTTCCTTCACTGTAAGGAATCTGAAAAGTAAAGGAATGTGTTTAAAATTTGATTACAAAGAGTGAATTTGAATAAATTAGTTTAAGGAAGAGAACTAAGCGCATATAATTAAAAAAAATACTTATATTATCGTGTAATGAAAGCTTGAAACCTATTTAGTACTAAATGCTTAAAGAAGGTTTTGTGCAAAGTGTTCTTCAAACTGTAACTCATTAATTGTATGGAACAAGTCAAGTGCATCTCATCAGAAGCTATTCTCACATCTCCGAAGAGCTCGACTGTCGCTCGGTAGGGCTTCCGCAAGCGCGTTGTAACGTTCACAGAGGCGTAAGTAATTACATTTACTTAATTGTTTTGTAATAAAAGAGAAAAAAACTGTCAAATTATCCGAGAAAATTTCAAAATATCATCGATCAGATTTACAGTAGAGTATTAAAAGTCATTTGTAAAGCCATGAGCCAAACGACGCAATTAATGACACCGATTTAACCACAACAAACAGACGCAAGCGATGCGACGTATTAGTTTTTTTTTGCAATAGGTTACATCGTATCGTCTCCTATCCTCCTCCCAAGGCGGTTACAAACAAAAGCTTACGTCACGTGTGGTTCGTTCGAGAGCTCTTTCAGCTAGTCAAGTGGTGTTGCCATTCGATCGAAACGCGATCAAACAATCGTGTTGACAGATGCGATCAAACAATCGTATTGACCGGAGCGATCAAATAATCGTGTTGCCACGAGCGAACGGCTTGCGGTCAGCGCGAGTTGCAGCGTGCAAAAATTTCTGCTTGTTCTCTCGCCATTTTTTGACCGTGTTGGGTCCGAAGAGAAATTGTATAGGAATTGAAATAATTGCATATTGTTTAGTGTACTATGGTTTAAAATAAATACAATATATTTTGTATTGGCAGTTTATTTTCGTTTACTGTCATGTTATTCATTTTTTCATTAAATGTTACACAATAATATTTCTGTTCCAGGTTATTTATTTAATTGCAGCTATTTTCGTCCGTACTTTCACTAATTGTATTCCTTCCTGGTAAATCCTTGTATACGAATAATCTTAACCAAAGATCAGATAAAGATGTTGCACATCATTGAGGTTCAATTGACCAAATTAACTGAATCAAAATCAGCGTCGGTAAAAAACATTTTCTTAACATGACTCCGAATTAAATATTTAGTTTCGATTTGGAATGAGTGGATTGATTTCGAATCAACTAATTTAAGTGAGACAGTTTTTTAGTATGTTTTATTTCCTGTTCCACTATTAATTTTTCGCTATCTGTGAATAAAGGGGGTTACATATATATGATAGCACTAAATTATGCAGATGTGATTATTGCAAAATTGATGCGTGAACTAATATAATTATTATAGTAATATAACTGCTAATATTGGTATGGAGAGTTTTTAGGAATGTAATGCTACTTGTTATTTTACTATTGAATCGCTGTTAAGTTACATCATCGTCATGTGAAGTAATTAACATAAGATCTACGTAGTTAATAGTTGAAAAATTATGCTATCCTAAAATTTTAAAGGTAATTAGCACGTATGGAACAATTAACATGCGATTATGATGCTCTAGAAGCTGAATTTTTTTTCGAGAATCAGCCTGAACCCGAGATCTTGGTTAAGACTTTGAGAAGTGTATAAAATTTGCTATTTTGCAGAATCATAAAAAGGATTTACAAATTTATCTGCTGCATGAATAGCACAAATAATTATTTTTTGGTAAAAAATATTTCTGATTATAAGAAAAGTAAAACAAACAAAGAAGAAGTGAATATTTTAGATTGAGTCGCTACAATTGAATTTCACTGCATGGTATTGGTAGAGAGCAATTTCATCTTATCACACATTGAAATAAAATTCACTTCTTGATGCACTTCAACGGAAGATGTAAATTTCATTATTTCATTCTTAATAATTCATTATTTCATTTCAAAAAATATCATCCATTTTCTGATCATTATCAAGTTTGTACATATCACAACCACACACAAAAAGTTCTAAAACCCACGTGCTGGTTTACTGTAAAAATAATAGTCCATTATAAAATTGCATAATAATTAAAAAATTTGCTACGCCTCCAAAATCGATCAGTGTTCGTATAGATCATTGAATCCTAATTCACGTGTTTGATGATCACGATCGAGCTAACACCAACGCTTCAGTACAAGAACCAATTGCTGAATGAGACAATCGAAGCCGTTAGGTCTCCAGTCTCTCGTATCGGAGTTTGCAACTACACTGCCCTCGTTCGTGCAGTCTTCATTCGTTCGTGTAGCAATCATTCGTGCAACGCTCGGTAGTGCAACCCTTCATCGTGCAACGCCTCGTTCGTGCAACCCTCGTACGTGCTGCCCTTGTTCGTGTAATCTACGTCAATGCAGCCCTCGTTTATACATGCAACATGCAATCCTAATTCGTGCAGCTCTTTCTCGCTCGTGCAACCCTCGTTCATGCAGCCTTCGTTTGTTCGTGCAGCCTTCGTTTGTTCGTGTAGCCCTCCTTCGAGCAGCTTTCGTTGCTCGTACAACCCTCGTTCGTGCAACCCTCATTCGTGCAGCCCACGAAACAATCACGAGCAAGAGGTCGACTGTTCATGAAACAATGGCGCTATGGACGTGCGTTAGGCAGCGATGTAAACTCTGTGACAAGAAAAACCACAGGAAAAGATTGCTGGTTTTCCACGAGACCTTAATGCTTCAGTGACGTAACCACCATATAGCGCTTGTAACATACTATTTTATACATTATCGAAGAGCGATACGAGCTGATTACATCCTGATTAGAAATTACACATGTTTCTTAGAAAATTAAGGATTCCTTTTCATTCAATTTTGTAAATCTATTTCTCTCTTTAACTTAGTGTGTTTTTACAGTACACACACTACATTTTTTTTGTATGGGTTCCAGGAAATGACTGTATGGTCTTACCTAATTGGGTCGTATTGAGACTCGGATCGTTCGCTATGTTATACAAGGTTCCGAATCCTGGAAAATTGGAAAATTTTAATTTATTTTTCTTCACGAGTTTAAAATTATTTGTCCGTTTTTTTCGCGAGTAAAACCAATGGCATACGTATTGCATTTATTGAAATTATCGATTTTTGAGCTTAGTTTAGTTCCAGACATTGTCGTAAATTCTAGCTTAATAAATAAAATTTCAAAAAAAAAAACTTCAAGTTTAATTTTTAAAGACGTTTCGTCGGCATTCATGCGAACGTTGTAATCGCCATCATCGACTGGTACAATGAAGTAAGAGTTTAAAATTAGCAGAAAGTTTTTCTGCTGTAAACATTTTTGCCTTTGGCACTCGCCCAAAAGGTCATTTCAGTCCGTGAAATTAATATTCATGCCCTAAAATTCATATGTTCGTTTGTGTTCAAGCGGAAATTAAAGCTCCAACAGCGCTTCATTTAGCTTAATTCTGGCTTAAAAAAGAATTCAGGTTGGAACATCAAACAATTTCTTTCAATTCAGCGAGATAGTTTTTTTTTTAATTTTACCAATTTTTAATAATCCAAGATTATAAAAACTAAATAACTTTTGAATTATTGAGATTAAATTTATTATTTTAGACAGTTCGGATGGCATGCCAATATAATAGAATAGGAGTTTAATAATAACTGTGGCACAAGCGTTATCATAAATAACCTTGTATTTTTCAAGCATTCTACTTGATCACCAAAAATTAAAATGTTAAGATAAGATCGTTTTTGACTATTGAAAACCGAGGAACGTAATTATCGAATTAATGAACTCCCATCACTGCTATGGATTCGGAAAAAAATAAGTAATTGACAAATGGAAAGAAGATAGTAAAACGATTTTGATTGATGTATTGCTCCTAAAGAACGTCTCAGTAAATTAAAGTCTTTGAAAATATTAAACGACATTTGTTTACTGAACCTACGATCAGTAGCGCAGGAATGGTTTGAGTTATGAAAATCTAGCGCCACTCAACATGAAGCTGTTTATCTCCACTACCTGTTTGCGGGCGCAAATCTAGAAAATTCGTTCATTGTTTTAAAAATAGCCCAAATTGAATCCGATTACCGACTTTTCATTTAAGATTCGATACAATTTAGGTCTGTCTGTTTAATGAAACGGTTGATTTCCATTTTTAAGGAACTGTTTCATTTTTATTTATAGGAAACAATTCATTTTAAAACCAAGGAAACAGTTCCTATTCTTCTAGCGGTCTGCCTGTTTGTCCGTGGTCGCTGCAAAAGCGCCAAAAGCGCCAGAAGCGCATTTTGTTAAAGCGTCTAAAGCGGTTTTTTGTTTGAATATTAAATATATGCATTTCAAGAGCTCACGTCAGTTAGTTCCTGACTTGTTCTTTTATTCACACCCATTACACACTTTTTGGCCAAGTGAGAATTAATAAAGGGATGGGGCTTCACGGCAAGAAACGCTGACACCGTCCGTTATGCGCATGACGCTGGCCAATTGTACACATAGTATCGTTCATTATTGCATCGTCCATTAATTTATTAATCGTCCAGCATCGTCCATTAAATAATAACAGCAGGGTTCCACGGCAAGAACGTCATGACACCGTCCATTATACGCATGACACTGTCCATTATGGGATAACGGGCATTAATAAAGGCAGGGTTTCACGGCAAGAACGCCATGACACCGTCCATTATTCACCGTCCACTGTCCATTATGGGATATCGGGGCATTAATAAAAGTATGGTTTCACGGCAAGAACGCCGTGACTCCGTACATAATACGCATGACACTGTCCATTATGGGTAAACGGTGCATTAATAAAAGCAGAGTTTCACGGCAAGAACGCCATGACGCCGTCCATGATACGCATGCCGTCTATAGGGCAGCTGGGATACGCTTGTGTGCAGTTACCGCCGGCCTGGCCGGTGGCAAGGGCCAAGTGGTAGTCCCGGGCTCCCGACGTGTGTAACCTGCTCTCTCCCTGCGGTACCAACCTGCAATGAATAGAATTGCTAGATATGATTGTCACTGATAAAACTACGTATTGTTTGTACTATTTATACGTGGGTGTTCGGTTCAGTTTCCCGAAAGCAACTTGGTCGTCAAAATTATTGAAAATATCATCTTTGATACGGCAAGAACCTAATGAATGGTTGTTAGTTGGTATTTTACATCAGCTCGAATTCATCTACTCATTTGATCAATTTGGATTTTCTTAATTGTATATTAAAAAATTATTTTAAAGTTACGCAACCGCAACAAAACACTCTCGTTCTCAGCAGCCACTGTATAATTATTGGCCACTACTTACTGAACTAAACTGAGTAAGGCAAGCTCTTCCTCTGCCAAGAAGTCCTTATTCTCAGCAGCTACTGTACAATTATTGGCCCCTACTTACTGAACTAAACTGAGTATGGCAAGCTCTTCCTCTGCCAAGAAGTCTTCATTCTCAGCAGCGAGCTGACATACCAGCTTGAGGCCGCAACCGGTCGTATCTTGCTGACGGATCACCTGAAATTTCAGTTAAAACTATTTAATAAAAGAAATAGTCATCCATATCCGTTACTAACCCACTATGTTGAGCTGAAAATATATTTTTTTCTATTCTTAAATATCAGTTCAACAAAAACTGGCATAACCATAAGAAAAATGGGAATTTGGAGATTTGCTTAAATATTTTCGGTACATTTGTGATGCATGCCATCGAGTAAACTAATTATCGCAGCGAAATTGTAATTTATCAGTCATAAAATTGAAAAAGGATATTTAGAATTGAATGCAATGATTTCCTATTATTAAATGAAATAAATACGGTGTTATTGGGTGTAGTTTATTTGAGTACATTTCAATTATGGCATTGACATTGTTTGCTGTCTTTTACTTGAATTTATGCTGCCGAGTTTTTCAGAATTTATGAAGTTGAATGTATGCTGCCGAGTGGCACTGAGTTTTATCAATCTAACCGAGTTCTTCCATAATATCCACCAGAGTACATTTGAAATACCCATCTGCGTTTTATATTATCTACCTGATTCATATCAAAATATTCACTCGAGTTCTGCCGTGATATCTACGGGTTTATTTGAAAAATTCACCAGAGTTATGTTATAATATCCGTCCGAGTTCTGTTATATTATGACTAAGGTCCATTGAAATATCCAACCAATTTCTTTTAGAATATCCACCCGATTTTTCAAATGTCATCCTGGGTTCTGTAATAATATAAACATTAGTCCTATTAGAATATCCACCTCAGCTCGGTTGCAATATCCACCCGCGTCTTTTTTTTACAATATCCATTCGACCGCTGTTATAAGGGTTAAAATGATGTTAACAAATACTAACATTATGCATAATTACGTCAGTGATGCGAGATGACGTTGCTGTAGTTGAGATCCAAGTTTAACACAGACTTAAATATCGCACATTGCAAATTTACTTTAAATAATGTGTTTATGTGCGTTAGACGAATAAGCACTTTTACCGGGTCGAACTGGGTCATGATGATCAACACAAGAGCAAATAGTACATCGCTATTTGGAAAAAATACTCATATCATTAATTTGCTTGCATCGCAAGTTCACCAAATATATAAAAGCAATGAAAATTCTACATAAATTCTCTATGTCTTTAGTGAAAACGTTTTAATTGAATATATGTTACATAAAGAATTTTATAGGGTTAATGGCGAATTTATTTGAAGTTTAGCCTGCCTTCAAATGTTTGGACAAAGTCACACTAATTGCTCTGAGACCACACGGTTACCTGCATCAGCATCTCGCCGCGCTCGACTTCGTCCCCTACGACCTCACGCTTCCTGCGCCTGGGGCTTGTCTCCTCGCCAGCCGTACTCAGACGGTCGTAGCCGTCATCGTGACCGTGCCCGTGGTGACCGTAGCCACCACCGTGACCTTTGCCGTGGCCGTGGCCTTTACCGTGGCCGTGACCATGACCATGCCCGTATCCGTGGCCGTGGCTGTTAAAAATCCGAATTACTCGCTCATAACCTAAATTGATATTAGGTTATGAAATATTTGATTATTAAAGAAATACATTGAGAATCTTTCGGATTTTGGACACCTTTTCCTGCGTTTTCTTCTGAGTGCCAGAGCGCCGATGCCGAGGGCCACAGCGCCGGCGAGGGCGGCGGCCGCTATGCTTGGCCCTACGATCCCTCCCAAGATGAGCAGGGCGTTCGTGGTGGTCGTCATCTGTAATATAATTACAGTTATCATTGTGTTATTGAAATATCATAATTAAAATTATAATTGTGTTATTGAAATATCATAACTAAAATTATCATTATGTTATTGAAATATCATATATAAAATTATAGTGTTACATTATCATCAAATTAAAATTATTACTGAAATTATATCATTGTATTTTTAAAAAATTACTGGAACAATTACACTTTTAGAATAGAATACATTACATTTGAATCAAATTACTAATAGAATGATATTCATAAATTATCATCAAATCAAATTTAATATAGGTGTATTTTGTTCATGGTTTAAATTCACTTCTATGCGGCCATCGTTTTTCGGGAATTTTGTCAAAATTTTTATCACATTAAATATACGAAATCAAATCTTCAGTCCCGAATTAGGTTTCAATTTCAATGCAAACGAACACCTTTTTAAAATTCATTATCATTTTATCGGACGCGTAATGGAATTTTTACGTTCTTTTCCTTACAAATTGTTTTAACATTTAGCATCTAAAAGTATAAATATCAAAGAATTTTCGTGCTGAAGTATTATTCACACCTTAAATTTTAATTTATGTTCTATTTGAATTTGAAAAATCATACCATCCTCACCCACCTTGCACTTATTATTCTTTGAGGTATAAAATAATGTAAACTTTCTTGCTGCCAGTTAAATGAAGAAAACACGTGTGAGGAGAATTCACAGCGGCTTAGAGCAAATGATAAGACGTCAAAATCCTTCCATATGTTGCAAAAAAATAATAAGTCGTATTTAATATTGATAATCCTTTAAATTCGATCCCTGCACTTCAACGAATCAAACTATTCGAGGCAGACTTCGAAGAAGCCTGTGAGTTACCGATCTCGAACGCTGAGCAAAATTTAGCAGACTGGCAGCACCGGTTCGTAGCGGCGTCTTATAAGCGCAGTGCAGGATGCTATCCAATCCAACGACGCACCTGCAGGAAGCAAGCTCACGTCTCCGGCAAAACGCATTTTGAGAAACGTACGTGGGTTGGTCATTCGATCACTGCTTCAATCATACATGAGGATCGCTCTCGACGGTCACGGAAACTCCAGTGTCTATCAAGACTCTCGATGACTGATGCGAAGCAAAAACTTTTGACCGAATTAGGGACTTCATTGCGCGTGCGGCGCGTGACTCATTTTTGTAACCGGGGAAAGTAGAACGGCGGAAGCAAATGCAAGATACCTTCTACCATTAAGGCAGGAAATCGTATAGTAGAATAGGCATCACATGTTGAATTGTATGTTCATAGTAGGTATTTTACATTAGTCAATAAGAGAAGGGTACATTGAGGCATTTATGAAATTTTAGTTTAAAGATGAATACACGAGGAAGGACATTGAAATTATTTTTTATTCGGTAGGAATTTGTTCATGCTGATGGATTGTGTCGCAAGTTTGCATGCAAAAACAGTCCTATCACTTAAAAAGTATTCGTATCATATGTAATATTGTCAGATATTTCGAACATTTTGGTTGAATCCAAGAATTATCACAGTGATTTTCATTTTTTTTCTGCAACTTCGTCCAAATTCATAACATTGTCACTTTCGTCTCATATTTTTCAAAAAATTTCAGAATCTTGAGACGAGAAAGTGCTGTGGCAAAAAAAGAAAAATGCTTCTGAGCGTATGATTTAAAGTTTTTTTTGCTCGCTTGCGGTTGAAGAGTTCATGCAGACGTGACAGTGATTGGAAAGTCATATATATTTTATAATACTGACCAGAAGAAGAGATTGCTATAGTTGGTCTCCATCTTAATTGCAGTTTTACCCGGCCCGCCCTGTTTGTAGTACGAGACACGAATTTCTGTGACGGTCCAATTTATTCTACCTATAGAAAACGTGCTCGCACCTATGATAGTGAAACGTTATGAGATGGAAATTAGTTTCCGTGACATTCAAACTTCCATAATTAATCAATGTCTTCTTGTACAACGAATTCGCAAAGATTTAAATAGGATGAACAAATCTAAGCAATTAGTGGTAAAAATTTTATTCCTATGGTCAATTTCATTTAATTCATTGCTGATAGGTAATCGAAGATAATAAATAGGCGAAAATCTAGAGGCTTGAATTCCGAATCTGTGAAAAAAATTAATATTCTTCTTACCGAACTCCAGCGGAACAACAAATAATAAAGCTTCGCACTGAACAAATATAATTCTGAGGTTAGGTCTTTCCGTTCAATTATTTTTGACTAATTTTCTTTCAATCACGCAGCATTTGCGTTCGTTATCCATTCATTACTATATAGAAGCAAACATGCACTCCATCTATAACACTTGCGCTGTAGAACTAAAATTTACTATGAAAGGTTAAATTAATAAAACTATCATATTCGTGATCTGTCTACGTATAAATAAATTGGTTTGCTGATTTCACTGTCCACACGCTTTTTCTTAAGGCAAATTTAAAATTTCGTTACGATGACGTAGGGTTGTGAAAATGTTTATATGATTATTACTAACCAGGATTAAAAATTCAATGATCTTTTGCAATAAACCTAATTATAAAACTAATCGCTCGAATCACTTAGTGTAGAAGTAAGATTCATTATTTAATTGCTTTTTGATGTTATAGATTTGAGAAAAAGCTTGAAACAGTAGATATCTCAAATAGTTTTTGCAAGTAAGATTATTTTATATCAGGCTTTTTAATTGTGAGTGGTAGGACTTAGCAAGTTATGTCATGCATTCGAGCACGAGCCAGGAAATCGTCTGACTTGATCGAGATTCTACATTTTTACGTTCTTCGAGCATTGTAAATTCGGATTAAAAACTTTCGCAAATTTGTCGTTATTACCGGTTTTAAGCTTAATTATAATCAGCTGTTAATAAGACATTTTTAATTTTTAAAATTTCAAGAATTTTGTATGGACGTCTATTGCTGTATGTAATTAAGAAAAAAATAAAAATATCGATCATTATTGCAAATGGCCCCATTTTAGCTCAGGCTCCAGTATATCGAAACTTGAGCGGATATTATTTTATTCAGTTAAATTAATCAATTTTAGTTGGGCAATAAATTAAAAATCAAATATAAAACTACAACAAAAAATATAGTATATTGAAACTTTATTCTATTAGGATGTCATATCTGTCTCATCCAAACATTTAACAAAAAATTTATTGAAGTTTTGTCTTTGACTGAGAAATCATTAAGTTTCGTTTGAACGAAAATAAATAAGTGAAATAAATATAAAAACGAAATGAATAAATGTATGAATAAGTTTTCAATATTCATTGCGCGGATCGCGTAAAAATGAGGAACGGTCAACAATGGAAATGAAACAAATTGCACTAAACGTAAAGATTTTCTGTGAGAAATGTGCTGAATAACATAGAATTAAAGCATTTGTAAGTGTTTATAAAATTGAAGCAGTGCAAGAAGTTTGATAAAATATATCAGTGGAATCGAATGATGCAATCTGTCCAACAACATGGCTTGCAGTTGAAGTTAATAACAATTTAAAATTTATATTAGTTTGATATATCATCAATTGAAGACATATATAAAGTAAGTTTACCTTGATAGTACAAATGACATATTAATGTTATTATAACTATTATATAGCGATGAAATAGTTATCTTTGCATTTTTGTATGTCATACTGCGTACAAAGCGTACAAAAATATTGTTAAGTGACTTTGAGAAAAAATCGGTTCAAAATGAAGTTTAAAACATTTGTCAATCGGTTATGCATAGAAATAGAATTCAAACTTCTTGATTGTTGCTCTTCCAAGTTACACTCGTTTCGATGAGCATTTACTAACACGATTTAATTAATGCCTTAAAAATATTTAAATATTCATACCCTGGTTCTAATCTAAGTTCATTTGTACTTAATTTCAAAATGTGAAATTTGTTGGAATTATTATACCGTACATTCATTTTCTTCAGTGCGTAGAACATATTTTGTATCAAAGCATAGTTTAACAAGTTGCCCAATTCGTCAGACAAAACTCGAACCATTAGGTATCTTTGCATCCTAAATTTGATAAGTTATTGTACTGATCAAAATACAGGGAAATGTGATGCGAGTGCTAATCAAGTTCACAATTTAGGTACAGGAGGCAAAGAGCGGCGTGAATAGAATGAACTTGGTTCCGGCAAGTTGCAGTGAAAAAATAACAAAATATATGTTTCTAAATTTAGCCTTGAAATATTTATGAGGAAAATATAATAAGTTTTTCATTTCCTTAATAGATCCCTTTTCGTGAACATAACAATCTTGCAGATTTAGAAAGGAGTAACATATTAAGCGCGTAACACAATTTAATTGTGAAAAATAAGATCGTAAAAATTATGCAGATAATTTTTTCCTGATTTACTCTGCAAGCTGGTATGGTTCCTCAATGCTAGTTTAGGGAAGATTGAACTGCGAAATTTCCTCAAATTGAAAGATTTCGATGTATAATTGAATCGAAGGCAGAGACAAATTTATAGTTTGAGGTTGTTACGATTCTGTTTCTAAATAAGTTTTTACGCTAATTTTTTACCTTTTGACATGAAAATATCCAATAATAGCACAATAAATGTCGATTGAATTAATTTTTGTGCGATCGAAATTTTTTGTGAGTGAACTAGTCTGTTACATAGAAAACATTCAACACTTAAAGTAATAGAAGTACTACAGCTAAAAAATTCGTCTCGATTAGACCCGAGGCTGAAAATATAATTTCCACGGCATTTTTCTCGGAGTAAAATTTGGTACACGGACATTATCCGCGCAGGGACTAATTTGATCCGCACATAAAATTCGCTGGGGGCATTATTTGGTCCAAGCATAGTATTCGCTCAGGGCTTAATTTGATCCCAGGACTTCTTTCGCTCAGGGTCTAATTTGATCCCGGGACATGATATTCGCTCTGGGCATAATTTGATCCATGGAAATTATTCGCTCAGGGCAGCATTTGATCCACGGACATATTTCGCTGAGGGCAAAATTTGATCCACGGACATATTTCGCTCAGGGCAAAATTTGATCCACGGACATATTTCGCTCAGGGCAGCATTTGATCCACGGACATATTTCGCTGAGGGCAAAATTTGATCCACGGACATATTTCGCTCAGGGCAAAATTTGATCCACGGACATATTTCGCTCAGGGCAAAATTTGATCCACGGACATATTTCGCTCAGGGCAAAATTTGCCCCACGGACATATTTCGCTCAGGGCAAAATTTGATCCACGGACATTTTTCGCTCAGGGCAAATTTGATCCACGGACATACTTCGCTCAGGGCAAAATTTGATCCACGGACATATTTCGCTCAAGGCAAAATTTGATCCACGGACATATTTCGCTCAGGCAAAATTTGATCCACGGACATATTTCGCTCAGGGCAAAATTTGATCCACGACCTGCAAGACGTTCTCCACGGGGCACGCTGGGTAGTAGCGGCTGCAGGACAGACCCATGGCGCCCACACCTCGAGCGATTTGGTATTCCGTCTTGGCGGAAATTCGGGTGTCCACTGCGTAACTATTTGGATTTCCACGCCCGGGCATGATGGCCGGTCTAAAAATCAAATTCGATGTTATTATCTTGCTCCACTGATTATTTAATAACGCTATTTAAATTCACTATTTTGCTATAAAGGTGAAGGTAAACGCAAGGTAAACGTTATATGAATTCACTATTTCGTTGTCGAAAACATTTCAGAGATCAGCTCCATATGTTTACTTCAATGATGTTTCGGTAATTAATTATGAAATTTAGTGTTTAATATTTTATGAGCTGATTTGAGTCATCGTTTAAGTAAGAAGATATAATTGATTATTTAGCTGAATTAGATCACACATATATGTCTCCATGTAGAAAAGAAATGATAATTCGATTTAAATGTCAATATAAATAATTGCAAATTTAATAGAAGAATCCAATGACAAGTTAGGAACTAAAACAACTCAGTCTTAAGCACAATAATAAATAATTAGTCACACTGTATTATCTTTAATAGGAAACTGTCGTGACAAAATTATATATATCAGTTATACCTTTAACATTAGAAAAAACAATGAACTTCAATCCACATGCATCATAAAAAAACGGGAAAAATTTCTCGTGCATATAAGAAGGTAGTTGATAGGAATTTTTTTTATCAAATTTCTGGGATGAGTTCCAGTATAACTTACCTGTTAAGGGCTGATAAAGGTTGATCTCATTATATGCATGCTCTGGTATGTGGCTTAATCCTTTGTTATTTCCTTAAAAACATTCCGAATTTCACTTTACATAATTTATGTTAATCTCCTAACATGTGGACTTTTTAATTGCCACTTTTTTTAATTACCAACATTAAAAGCGTTTCACCATTTTCTAAATATTGTAGTTTATTGCATAAAGTCCTAATTGTCATATCGTTGTATAAAACTAAATAACAAACTAAACTTCGTAATATTATTTGAAAACTGTCTAATTGTGATAAATAATCAACTTCATTGAAATAAATAATTGACTTTTCATACATGGAAAATCTACTGAAAAACTAACGATGAGCCTTTCATATTTGAACAGAAAATATTTTTACTTGACAAAAAATATTTTCATTCAATTATCTGATTGAATTCTTCGTGATTTTTATGTCATTTTTTTCGCATGAACGAAATACTTGGGATGAACCTCACACTCGTTGACCAGAGTATTTCAATGGTAAAAATAGACAGAAAAAAGAAGGTTGAACAGATCTCGTATGACATGCAGATTGAGCGAAAAAAAACACTCAGTTCTCTATGAAAAAGGAAAAAGAAATCGAGGAAACACGGAAGTGTTGTAAAACTTTATTCATATGTATTTTCAGGAACGAAGTATCACAGTAGTCGTAGATATGACAGAACAAGCGAAGATCCTTTTTCGTATCTTTTTGAATACGAATGATATATATATAAAATTTCCTAGTAAAAATCTTCGTCTTCAGAGGAAGACTCGGGCCTGGAAGTGAATAGTAATAATTAATAAAGAATTTTGTCCTTTTTTTACATGTTGACATTATGTTTCCGTATTGAAAATTCGGAAATACATTGATTACCTAAATTGAATGGAGGGTAACATGTTAGTCCAACTATGAAAACTATATGAAAACGTGCTAAAACTTATGCAAACGTATGAAAACTCTTCCTAACCTTGAATATTATTGGGAAAGAAATAATTGAGCATAAACAAATCTTTTTCAATTGATTGATATGTTGTTTTGTAATCAAAACGTACATAAAAAATTAGATACTAGCGGTTGTCATATTGTCAGGTCTTCGTAATTGGCAGCAGATCGTCCGGGATATGATGAAACTTTAAACTGTAAAATATGTTAATATTGAAAACGATAATTGCACCATTTCCATTGAAAAAAGATTTGTTTTTCTTCGGAAAATTTGATAAACAAGATGCATATAATTTTGAGCAACAGACACAGAAGGACAAAAAATGCAAGAATTAATTGTATGTGGCAAACTCAGGTCGTAAAATTCAACTAAGGGACATTAATTTGCTATATCATGTGAATGAGAGCAGAGACAATTTTATTATGCAATATGAATTTGAATTCATCGGGTTAAACATTATGCTTTAAACATCTTGAATTTGGTCTACGTAGAACCCCATTTTCTGATTGTAATATATAGATTCCCGATAAAAATACTGTAACCGTTAGGCAATTAAATGGTCCTATCAATCCTATAAAAGTCCTATAAGTTAGTTGAATCGAACATTTGGAAAGAGATGTGACAAGTGACCAAAAGTAGGAAGTTCATAGAAAAACCTGAGCCGGAAAGTATAGTAATCGACAATAAATTGAAGTTACATTGTTCAATTTTTAAGAAAACTGAAAAACCATAAACCCAATACAGTGTGACAAGGAAGTAGATCTTCAAGAAAAAGCTGTAACAAAAATATAATTTTGACTTGAAATCAATAAAGTGGGACTTAACTTGGGATATCACGACTGGCAAAATGGTCACAAATTGCTATTAACTTAATGCAGTAGAAAATGTGTAAAATTGAAATTTTATTTGACATAAGTTTTATATCTGTACCCTCTTGATCTAGCTAGATGAAACTATTTGTGAATAAAAACAAAGCTTCTAATAAAGCCAAAAGCACGAGTATCATTGGAGGAAGTCATTATCTCATCTTATGAGATCAAGCGTGGCGGGAGATATTTTAATTTCTGAACTAAACAAACGCTTATCATGAAACTGGATATTGTATTGAAAATAGAAACGCTTCAAGATCAAGAATGATACGAGATATCGTAATTTGTAAGCTAAACAAACGCTTCTCATGAAACTAAAAATTGTATTGAAAATAATTCATCTCACCCGACTAGATCAAGCATTGCGAGGTGATCGTAGGTGAGTTGCTCGTTGTTGAGCGACGCCAGCTCGCACACGAGCTTCAGTCCGCACCCAGACGAGTCTTGCGCTCGAACAACCTGCGAAAAAGATCATTTTAACTGGAACAATTTAGAGATATCATTACTAATTAAGAATTATCGCAGATCTAGTCACCCAAACAAGATACATCTAGACCCAAACTAGTCTAGTCTAGTATGACTGTCTAGACTATGTCTATGTCTAGACTATGTCTATGACTGTCTAGTCTAGATCTAGTCACCCAAACAAGATACATCTAGACCCAAACAAGATACATCAACACTGGGCACAACCTGCGAATAAGATCATTTTAACTGGAACATATTATTAGAGAAATCATTAGGTACTAATTAAGAAAGAACTGAGTACTCCCTGTGAATAGTGATTATTGTTAAGTGAATTAATCATCGACATATCTCTATTATATATGAATTACCTCAGTACACTCTGCGAACAACGATTATTGTTAATAAAACAAATTGTAGATACAGCATTATTAATGATGGCAGTAAATTTTCTTGCTTTTCGGTTAACCGCCGGCTGAAAACGCTTCAAATGACTCCATGCCTCTTTTACTTCGTAAAGCATTTATTTAAGTTAGTGCTATTTACATTATTTTTACCTCCATCATCCGCTCTTCCTTGATCTTAGCCTGCCTCCATTTTTCCGCTGCTTCCATTTCCTCTTGGGATTCCTTGTCATTTTGAATGGAACGTTTCTTGCGACGCGTGCCATCCTTCGTCATGTAGTAAACAAACTGGACTGGAGCTTCCGTTACAGTTTGCTGATCAGTGTTCGCATAGTAGTTATCGTATTCCACATCATTGTAAGAATCATTGTAGTCAGGTTCCGCATTTACTTCCTTTTGAGGATCATTGTTTCCGAACCAGTTCTTGACACCTCTTAGTAAGTATCCATCATCTCCACCGGCTTCTTTTGCTTTTTTAGCGTATTTTCCACCTTCGCCTCGTCCACTGCGATATGCAACAGGCTTCTTGGGTTTACCTCCTCCTCTGTGATAGTTGGAGTTTGGCTCGCGGTAGAAAATATTCCTGCGGTTTGAAGATATCGCCACTAGACCTAAACCCAAGGCCCCTGCAATCGCAGCAACGGCGGCAAGTCCACCGCTTATGTATACAGGGATTGCAATGTGTTCAATCATGTTGCCATGAAGGTGGCAAATATCCTGGAAGTATAAATTATTTACATAAGTTATCAAGCGTATCATATGGGTCGCCGAAAATTGTAAAAGAATCTAAATTCTCAATACCAAAAGAAATAATTAAATTTATCGTCATTACAAGTATTAAATTTTATTTCGTATTGTGTCTGTTGACTTAAAGTGCGAATATAGATTCATTATAGGCTATCAAAATAAGGTGTGTATAAAACCTAAATTGGTTCATTATAATATAATTTTCTGCTGATTATTAGTTTAAAAGAAGGTAATTTCAGGACCATAGCATATATTAGGTTTTATATCCTCAATATCGAAGATAGAATTTATTCTGATTGCCTTAATCGTCGAATATTTGATCAGCAAAGTTTAATCAACGAAAATCATTGTGTTTTCAATGAAAAATTTTACTCGAAAAATAAAATTTTGATAACCAAAAAGAAAAAATAGCTGAAAAAATTTATAAAACTCAAAAGAATAAATATTCTATTGCAAATAAATTATTCTTTAATACAAGTATGAAAAAATCAGTAAATACATGTAAATTATTACTCTAAATTTGATTAATTTTTTTGCGTTTATTTTTGTCAAGCTCGCTGCACTAGTACGTTGAACCATCGCCTCGTATCACGTAGAGAAAAGCGTTTCGTCACTCCAATTGTTTCGATTCTTTGGTCAAGTCTCGGATTCTTGCATCGCTCTTGGTTCACTTAGATGTGCGTATAGCACAAGGTCATTATAAGGCTAAACATTACTAAGATAATGTTACGTGCGGTCAAATATAAAACATCAAACATTTTAAGCTGAATATCAGGGATACATAAGTACAGCTCTATTCTCCATCAAATAAGTCCAATATAAATTACAAATTCAAAAACATTATTATAGGTCAAAAAATACTAAATATATGGTATGAAGGTAACATTTTTCGATAGATTTAAAAACAACTGAAAGTGACAGAGGAAAAACAAGCACATCATGCGCATAAACTTGATTATAAAATAAATAACACTGAACTGAATTGAGGCCGTGAATGCAGAGAACACTTGCTCACACCTCGACTGCTAAGCCACAAATGAGGCAAGGTGCCGCGTGGGCTTCATTTTATGTAGGAGGATTCAACTAAATTCTTGTCCTGCGTGATTGTAATGCCTGAAGAATTACAGGGAGCTTAAAATGATAACCGTTAAATGTGCATGCGAGGAAATACACGTGTCTGTCGGATATAATCCGCTGTCTAGAACCTCATGCCATGTTCTACGAGTATGTATCTTGTATAGACTCGAGGCGCTCGTATACAAGTGGCCATTATAGTGCTGACCCCTACAACTTTCACATACTTACAGTGAATACTTTAATAATTATATGCGGCAGAAAAAGAGTTGACAAACGGTATTTAAATGTATATTTTTATCATATTTTTTGGAATAATGTCGAAAAAAGTGTTCAAGTAAAATAGAAATATCGAACAATTATTATTTTAATCTTAGTATTTTTATTTGATGAGCGAGGTAGCGTTAAGAATTTTTTTCATCTGCTATTTATCCCACGATTACGTAGAAAGTCTAGTATCCAACATGTCGTGACTCACATCCATTATATGCTACCGCGCTACTACGATAGGTTGATGAGCCCATAACTGGTTGTTTAAACAACCTAACTGCCCTGTCAGGTGTATTTTCCAACTGAATTGACAGCGTGAATTTTTTGCATGTCTGAGTTAAATGGCCGAGCAATGCCGTTACAATTCGCAAAGTTAAAATATTCTGGCCGCAAAACCTCCGGGTCAAATTAATACATTGGGGTGAGTTGTTTAGTTGTAAATGCCTGATTAACCTGTTTACCTGGTTTATGGAGCGGATTGACCTGCAACTTGTGACATGCAATCTCCTCAGCAAGTTAAAGTTAAACCTGCTAAAGAACAAGGAATTTAAATTAGATATTGCTAATTATTTTAAAAAGTATCAAGAGACTATACCAAAGTTTGATGCACCAAAATTATATACATTCCAGATTTTGTATTTATAATCTGATCTAAATTCTGAATTTATGAATGAATTGTTGAAAAATTATTAATTTACACTACCGATTATGATTCAAATTATTACTCATATTTATTGTTATTTAAAATAGTTAATCAGCTAGGAGGCCCGTGTTATCAATCCAGACCTCTCTTCAGATCGATACATCAGAGTTTTTCAGAAGTTCTATTTTACAGTGTTAAAATTTTCGTTTATTGATAACAGAAACAAGATGGTAATGGAAACTTATGTATTTATAAAAGTGTTGTGAATATTAACATTTCCACATGAAATGTTAACCATTCAATGAATTTTTAGCAGGATATCGTGTCCTCTTACGATTAATACTAATTACCGTAGTGCCATTAAAGCCTATAGCCTTTTCTTCGTCCGATTACGCCAGATTATACGCACCATTTCGAAAATTTTGTTCATAAAAATACATCACTTCAAGTTTTTAGTAGATTTTAAATGCATACTATATCGATTAAGAATTGATAAAATCTGCTCAAATCGTTCTTTCTGGTCTGAAATTCTTCAAACACCGCACGTATGACGTGCAAGAAATTTCCAATACAAAAAAATTAAGCATATAATTTTCATTTCCATGGATGAGAAATGGGTCATGCAATTAATGGTATATATAAAAAATATACATCCAGTCATTTATAATGTAAATGAATTTCAGTTGAATGTGAATTCAGTCACTTAAGATGTGAATGAATTTCAATTCCGTTAGCTCCATTATTAATTAAACCAGATTAGAGCAGCATAATATTGGATCTAGGTTAAACTGGTGAAGAGAACTTCAAGAATTTAAATACGTTCCGTACACAGCGTGTGAAACTTAAGCGTGTGAAATTATCAGACACAGTACGACCAATTAGCAAGCACCTAATGATCTTCACGTTGCATGTCGCGAACGTCTCTGCGGTGACAAAGATAACGTGATTACCAGGAGATAACGTGATTATCTGGACTAGAATCTACGTGCTTATTAACGGATTTAGATCAATTTATTTAATGCTTGAAGTTGAGAGCAGTCAAATCATTTACAAGAATAATTGTACAGTTATCTGTGATGTGTTCACAATTTACGGTATTTTCTTGAGCACACTTACAATAATGTTACGATAGAAGACGTAAGTGAGCTAAAGGAAGATTTTTTGGTTTGGTTAAATCGATATTTGATCAAATTTAATAACTTGGTTTTAAGCATAGGCAAACAAATTAGCTACTTGAATTCGATGAAGATCCTTTGAAGTTCATTCATGATAATTTTTTTATAATGATCATGATAATTCGTAATAATTTTTAATTTATCATTCATTTATTCATTATTGATAATTTTTAATGTAATATCAATAATAAAAACAAGCATTTAATTTTTACCTTGATTTTTACCAGTAGGTTTTCCCAGTGTTTCCGGGGGCGTAACTTATCCTTACATTTTGGAATATAATTTTATCCTACTAATCTGAATCTTTTTATCCTAAATACCGTCATCGCGAAAACAATTCACTTTTGGATTAACAGTCTTCAAACACATTAACTTACGCCGAACTACGCAAAAAATATATAACAGATTCTTATCAATTACAAATACTGCACTCGATTTGTAACATAGCCCCCAATTAACTGGAATTTCTTTTATCCACACTTCTGCGCAGTAAAATTCATCGAAATTGTTTCTAGGCTTTACATCTAATATTTTATTTACGCTTTTAATGTGAGCAATCAGTGAACACGAGAATGAACAAGCAATACAATACTAATATCGTAATTTACGCTTTATCATAATGCCACTCATAACAGAATAATTTCAAATTTATTAATTGTCTCTCAAGGGAAATCGCTGAATCTCCTAATTAATACGCTGAAAAGTTTTTGATGTGAATGTTATTATGTCTTAATTAGATCGTTATCCCGTAGTTGGGAACTTGGTTCCAATGAAATGATTTCGTATTTTTTTCAAATGTTTGCTGATCAAATCATTATATATGTATATTAAACTATTTATGACACTTTTGGTTACACGTTCACTTCAGGAATAAAGTAATTTACGTAAATACTCCAATTTGAGAGCGAATAAAGCTATGAATTATAAAGTTCACGGAGGATTATTCAATGTGCTTAGATATGTTCAATTAAAGTATTTATTAGAAAAAATGTATCTCCGTGATACTTTTTTGTCAACACTAACCAAATAAAATTAAATACATATGAATTAGCTACTGATTATGCGCTTATTTTTTCGGCTGGAAAACGATAGGATGTTTTTTTTCTATTCTGATTCACTTGAGTCGATTGAAATTTATTATTATTAATCATGTTCAACCAATATAAAGTGGAATACGGAGTAGCAATTGGTTTTTGAGTGTCGTTTACTTCATGCCATTACCAGTCCCACTAAATTATTTTGCTAAATAAAAAAAAATAAATCTCGAACTCGAACATCTATTTTATCCCTCAAACTATTGAATTTTGACCTCTAGATCTATTTTTTAGTGCTTATATCATTAGTCTGCTGAAATTGCAAGTTCACTATAAATTTAAAAACTGAGAAATCGCCAAGCAAACTAACTATATCTTACATGAAAATTTTTATTTGTCTTGCCTATTATAATTTTCTAGCCTATAACTTATGATGGAGCTGGTCTCCAGAACGTCTTAATTGAAGATACTTCTAAATTTTTTCATGCAAAACGTGAGTCTTTTTATATGCAAAGCATGAATGTTTTATAGTCTGTATTGTCTCTATAGAACCATGGCAACAATTCTAATTTTTTCAGCACAACGTGAATGTTTTTATATGCAAAGCATGAATGTTTCATCGTCTGCGCTGTCTCTATAGAAGCATGGCAACAAGCTGCATGATCTGGTCGGCGGAGACAGCGCAGCGTCTGAAGATGTCGCCGCACGCATAGCCTGACGAGCCCAGCCGCGACGCTGCTTGGTACGACACAAGCTCTGTGTTGTTGGGTAGAATGCCGGAGCCTTGCTCAACGTTCCGGTCACCTTCACTAAAATTAAACATTAGAAAGCATTAAAAACATTAGAAAACATTAAACATTAACCAAAATTAAACACTAAATAACATTAAACACTGAAGAACATCAAACCTTAAAACAAGAATAAACAATAAACGACATTAAAGATTAAATAACATTAAACATTGAAGAACATCAAACCTTAAACAACAATAAACAATAAAGGACATTAAACATTAAACAACTTTAAACATATCAGCCATAATATCCTACTATTACAATAATATTGTCAGTCAAGTGCTATGTGTTACGACGAATATTAACGGAAATTAATCGCTGCAATATCGCGAAAGTTGATACAATTTACAAAATCAATGACGTTACATCGCCAGATATAACGGAATTACTCGGAGTAAAATTTAAATAAAAAAATTATTTCAATCCTGATATTTGCTGTTTAAAAAACGTTGTCTTGGTCACTAGTATTTCCGGAACCAGGAACTGTTATAAATAATTTTTACGCGGAATTGTCTAATGCTTTTCTAGATCAACTATATTTTTTATTTATAATTTATACTCAATTGATATATAAAATTAATTTTTAATTATGTTGTGTCAGTGAATGAACCCTCAACTATTTTACGTATTTTACTAGTGAACACACATCTTAGAACCTTAATTCTTCGATTTGATTAATTCTTCGAGAATTCCTCGCAAGTTATTCATAACAAGAATTATTCCTATCTTAAAAGTGACCTTCCCGAACAAACTACACTATTTTCAACTCGACATCTGGTAGAGCCTTCATTAGGTAAACCTTTCATTACATGCAAAATATTAGCTAATCAATCTCTATATCTATGTAATAAATATCACCTCTTTTCACAGAAAAATACCGGTTACTCACTGTGCAAACCGTGAATTTCCCATTCGTCATTTGTGGCTACATTCACGTCTTTGACCTTTAGTATTAATATTTCTAGAAATCAATTAATAGATAATTAACAAAATATAATACTTATTCAGCTTTATTCCTCGAAAAGTAACAGCACTTACTGTGCAAACCGTAAAATTTCCCACTCATCCTCTGTGAGAGGTCTCACGTCTTTGATTTTAATTAATAAAATTTCTAAAAATCAATTGATGAATACAAATAATAAGTAATCATTATTCAGCTTTCTTCCTTAAAAGTAATGGTACTTACTGTAAAAACCGTAGAATTTCACCCTCATCTTTTGTGAGGGGTCTCTCACGTCTCTGATTTCAATTAATAAAATTTCTAAAATCAATTAGTGAATACAAACAATAAGTAATACTTATTCAACTTTCTTCTTTGAAAAGTAACGGCACTTACTATACAAACCGTAGAATTTCCCACTCATCCTTTGTGAGGGCATTCACGTCTTTGGCCGACAGTTCACAGACGAGTTTGTAGCCACAGCCATCCAAGTCAGAGGTTTTGATGGCTTGCAGCAATAAATCTTCGTCCGATTCCATCTGCCTGTTGAATTTCTTTTTCAGTTTGGCGCGATTCGTCTTAGGGTGTGAAGCATTTTTAGGTATAATGATATTTTCCGTGGCATTTTGATCTGCACAAATTAGATGGAGATAATCAGCCGTCAATTGAATTTTAGCTCAAATAATTTCGTTCAGTTCAAATTAAATTGCACCAGCGTCATCTCTTCTAAAAGTTAATGAAAAGAAGCATGAATGGTCTCTCAATTAAGTGTATTCTTTTTGATGTTGGATTCCAATTCAATTGAAAAATGTACATTGTTTCAACGTTGAGCTTCCCGCTACGCCAACAAGAAGCGGCTTCAATATACGTCCAATATTGTAAAATTCAAGTAATTTTATCAGTAAAGATGTTTCTAATAATTATGTAAATACATTCCACCCTGGACGCAAATTATCTCCTGTTCAGTCGTATGTACGAGAATCATGTGCATTCCTTTTGTGTGCATACTTTTGAACTTCGCTAAGCGCATCAACGTTTGAATCAAATAGCTCTAAAAAGAAGCTTTAATCTTATTAAATGGGATTTGTTCATGGAATTGTTCAGCCAAGATAGGATTTTTTTCTGACAAAAATGAGACAAACATTCGTTGTCTCAACAACCATTGTTCTACATAAGCTTGCCACATGAACAATCCAGTTTGGAAAAAATTATCAAATACAATACATACAATACATATTTACCGAATTTATTGCTGCCAGACTTGGTGGGTGCGTGTTTACGGTTGCGAAGAACATTGTATATATTCACAATTATTGGAAATTAAGTAGGTTAAACAAATATAATTTGCATCTGGTACCTGGCCTGGTGGTGCTTGTATGCGGTAGCAATATATATGGTGTTAATTCAAAATTGGAGATTCCCCATGTACAAGGATGAAGATTGTAGTTTGAACCTAATACCTGACTTAGATGCTGCGTGTCTGCGGTAGCGATGTCCATGGTGCTTGCCCCTTCGCCTCCTCTTCTTGAGCCCGGCGGCAGCGGCCAGACCGAGGGCGCCCAAGCCTATGGCCCCCGCGGCGACAGCCCCGGACGCCAGTGCCGCGGCCACTCCAGTCGTCAGGGTCACCGACATCGTGCTTATCTCTGGCAAATTAATATATTTACATGTTATATATAAATAATTCATGATTAAAAGGATAAAATTATTAATAAAAAATAATAAAAATGATATAAGTTTTTAGATGAAGTACGATTAAGAAGTTCAATAGTAACAAATTTATTCTGGTATTAATTTCCAGCATTGATGGCAAAAAACTGACCAGATAAAGTAGAAGTTCATGAAACAGACATTATTCACGTATCAATTTATAGCGTCTAAATTTATGGTCAGGGACACTGCGATGAAATTTTACTGCATAGATATTCAGATGAAATAAATTTGTTTAACTATAGCGACAATTATTTACTGTAGCCAAAAATTCGAGTGACGCATAATTTTCAGGCAATGCACTGTGAATATGAAATATATGGCTATTATATAAAAGACGCAAACGCATTTGACAAATTTTCCTCTAAATTGTTGGCAAAATTGAGCAGGCAGCCATGTATAGTTTAATACGCGAATGTAAATTTTATTGAAGCCTGATATTCATTGTCACCGTTAACTATAACATTTTTTTCAAATGCAGAAAAAATAAATTAAATTGTCATCAAATTGTTGTGCGATCAAACTGATGGATGCTCCCGAATAAAAATATCTAAATCAAGTATAAACTGTACTATAAGTAACACAGTAGATCCGTTCAATTTACATATGAGCTTGATGTTAGAGCTTGAGGAATTCGGTATGTGGTTGAATTGCGAGTCGTGATCGAATGCTGCCGGTTTCAGGACGCGATCATTTTTATAAGCGAGTCTCCCCTCACGCGCGTCCCGGACTACAGCTCTTGCGACACACATGCTGCCAAAACTTGCATTGATTAACTCACGCATGCAGTTCCTCATTGCAGTATCACTGAGAAAAAATTCAAGTCAGTAAAAAAAAAACAGAGTATGAATGATAAAAACATTATCGACAACAAATTTCCAGAACAAAAATTTTCAAAAGAAAAAAAAACTCGAGAACAAATTTAATAAATGTAAAATTACCATTGAAAAGCTCGAATTTAAAAATTGTCAAGAATTTCATTGGGTTAATTCCTTGTAAAATTAGTGTTTTGCATTTGATTTCGAACCTCAATGATTTCGAACCTGTGAAATGAGTGTTTTGCATTTGATTTTATATATGTGTGGAATGGAGCCAGGTCTAAAAGAAAAACAAAATTCTAGACCTTATTTTAAATTAAATGAATTCGATAAATCGTCCCATGTAACGTATTTCAGGAATAAATATTTAATTTAAAAGGAAAAGAAATCGACCTAGGATCCAGTTTGAACAGTCAATTCGTTCTAAAACAGCTATATATTCTAGTTTGGCCCCGTCTTTATTGATTAAATCATGATAAATATATCGAATTCTTTAATCGATAGATTTTCATGCTTAATCATAGGAAATGAACAGTCAAACTGGTCTTTAAATGAACGGGATAAAACGAGCAAATAAAATTTCCAAATTATTTCTACTCTCTGCTTCACGTGAAGCAAGGGAAGAGCGCTACACGTAGAGCTTCTGAACAATAGAGAACAATTGCGTAAAAACACAGTAGTCGCTGCTCGAGTTTCACAAAGATAGAAGCAAAAACTCGAGAGCATGTAAACACTGAACAGGATTGAGACATCTCTTGAAATCCATGTTGGCAACGGGCGCGTGCAAATTGCATGCGTGCTCATATTGACTGCGTTGAAATTATAATACATATTATTGGAATAGACGTGATATACCACTACCTACAAAGAAACATAAGTAGCCAGCTTATGACGCCATAAGTCGCCTTAAAACTTTATGCATTGGTAGGAGCTTTAAGTAATTTCTACTTCATCTTCATGCATGTATGAATTAAGGGATCAAAGGAAAATCTAAGTCAAACTTGTCTTTGAAGTAAAATCTGTGATTCATCTTTGTAGAAAGACACTTTTAAGCTCCTGCACTAACCTCACGGCCAGTCACTAATAACTATTTAATACTGATCATAACTATATACGATCTTTAGGGTTCGATAACAACATTATTACTATGAAGATGTTTCGATGGCGCTATAAAAATGTGTTTCAGTTTGTTTATATAATCGATCGTTTATATTGAAAACCGGCAACTCAAGAGATGTGGTGACGTCATTGGCATTGACGGAAATTAATTTGACGAGTAATTCACTTTACCTTCATCGTTTGAATAATTAAAAAAAACGAAAATAAAATTTCTTGTGGTCATTTATAATTAATTATTGACTTTCAGCCTGATGGTGATAAAATAATACTAGTAATGCTAAAAATAACAGTAAATTTCGCAAATTAAGTCATAACGCGAGTGTATATTTATCCTTGATCCTCGCAATCGATCACCATCAGTTTTAGAGGTTGGGTATCGTTATATTTTGACCTACTTTAATACTAAAATTGCTAGTGAAAAATCCATATTGAATCGATCAAGGGTTGCAGTTGATATTTTATGTGTACAAACCATAAAATTTGAAAGGATTTTGAATATATCGTAAACTAAAAAAACTGCGTTGTAACACATCCATGCGACAACATTTCTTCTCGCTTCGAGTCACCGACATGTGGAACTGCAGCCTCCCTGATGGCATCGTTTACGCTCCGATTATGAACGCCTTCAAGAACAGACTAGACGAAGCTATGCAGGAGCATATGTTCAGTCTTAAAATGCCTAGCACCTTACGGGCCTTGCAATAAGTCCAGCAGCTATCTCAATCAATCGTCATTCGTCAGTTATGGAAAGATCGGGTTCCAAAGGCCGGACCCCTTGTGAATCAAGTCACGAAAAATTCAAGAATCGGCAACAGGCCATTTGCCTATTTCTTCAGTGCCGACACTTCTATTCTATCCTAAGAGAATTAAGAACAGGTTACCATGTTATCATGCAGGTATTTCATATCTTTCTTCCATATAGTAATTTACCATGTCACCTCAATTAATCTTTAGAATGAAATAGATAAACAATGGGTGATCAAGAATCCCCCATTTAATTAATAAACAGGCTTTCGTGGGGAAACATATAAACTGGGATACATATAGCAAAGAGATAAACTGGGAGACATATAGCAAAGAACGAATGATATTATTTTTTAGAGTCTGGGATGAAACAACTCCATTTTTTTCAGTAATCGATCAGAAAACGATATACGGAATTTTTACTGGGGAAACTACACGTTTACAAATTGCCGGTGATCCTCCAATTCTGGCGTGAACAGAGCTATGAATTAACATATTTAAAAGTAATGAATGAAGTAATTTCCATGGATAAGGCAAGGTCAGTTTAAATAAATAAGTTCACCATAGGATTTTTGATCCATTATGTAATTTAAATTGGTCGAATTATTACAAGAATATAATATGCCTGTTTTCTCATGAATTGTTCAACTATTCAAATCTACGTGACATGCGTTCATCGTAAAATTACCAGCCTACAATATTTCAACTAATTTTTTAATTTTCCTTATAAGTAAAATATTCGTTGCAAATCTTCATCATTATTATAAAACACTTATGTTTTACTATCAAAATTAAGTAAATACGATTAACATCCGATATTGATAATTACTTCTTGGCTTTGCAGTTATCATCGAAATTAGAAAATTTCCAAGCAACAAAAGAATATATTTCATACAAATTTAAAACGAATAACCTGGGTCTTGGGATTTTTATACATATCTAATAATAATGAAAATCCTGTACAAGATATGAATTCTTATTCAGTGTGACAAGTAAGATCACAATATTATCGTTCATTTTGAAAATATTTTTTAACAAATTAAACTTTATTACTTCCAACGGTGGTACGGGAAACTAGCTCAAAGCCGAGGCTTGATGCTGATATTTGCGATGGGATTCAGGAAAGATGATAGTCTAAATCTCCCCGCGCACTAACCCCCAACCACCTCATTATTTGAACCGATGCTATGTGTTCATTTTTCAATTAAGCAAGAATCAAACACATCAAGGAAAAACATCTAGTATGTTAAGTTAAAAAAATGCCGGTGCAATAACCGAGGAACGGAGGTCCACTCAACCTTACAAAACGTATATATATTTTTAAATGTATATATATTTTAAACGTATTTTAAACGTATATATAATTTTTTAGCTGTTCTCCGTCTAAAAAACACGTAAAAATCTAAATTATACTTCTATTTTAACATTGATTGATGGATGGCATGCATTTTGCAAGGATCTCGGTCAATGGAAATCCTACTCCCTTGCAATTAACATTAAATTAGATTTCTCACAACGACAATATCTAGCTCACTCAGATATTACTATATTGCACACTATCAGGCTAGTGCGGGATAGATATTCTCTCAAATTTGAAAGCTGCATAATCGTGAATAATGAAAAAATCTAATGTGAGATTATTCACTTTTGTTCACGATCGAAAATGATGTTTGACGTTTTCAAATAAATTTAAGATCTCCAAATATTTTTATCAATCCTTTTAACTAAGCTTTGCAAATTTATCGGGGGGGGGGGGTTCCATGCAGGGATGTAGAAATATTACGGTCGCTTGCCCCCTTGTGGCTGTGCTAGTGTGACCGTGTATGGTACCAAGCGTATAGGGCTCGTGTGACAGTCCCATATATCGACTGCTGGGGTAGCCCCAAGCTCGGCAGCCTGAGAGCGCGCCACACTGCCTAATGCGTATAATTATGAAGATTGTTAGTCAAACCTACACGTCTAAATTTCACTGAGGTTAGCGAGAAGATAAACACTAATGTGAATCCGGTTTATTGTTGCTAATGCAGAGCAGGTGATACGTGATAAAGTTGGCACGGAACATAGACTATTTCTTGACAGGATTAATTGAAGGAAATTGGGACTCCTGCTGGACGTAATGCAACACATTTGTTTGAAACCAGCTGCAGGAAAAACGCAACACCCCGCTAGGTTCTCAAACTCGACAGCCCAAAACGCGTTACACTGCGAATCAAAGATACCTGCTGCTGGGGTAACTTGCCTGGTTACCTCGGCGCACACCACAGCCCCAAGCTCGATAGCCTGAGGACACGCCACACTGCGTATCCAAAGATACCTGCTGCTGGGGTAACTTGCCTGGTTACCTCGGCGCACACCACAGCCCCAAGCTCGATAGCCTGAGGACACGCCACACTGCGTATCAAAGATACCAGCTGCTGGGGTAACTTGTCTGTTTACCGCGGCGCACGCCACAGCCCCAAGCTCGACAGGCTGAGGGAAGCGTCACACTGCGTGTAACAGATACAGGGGTAACTTGTTCGTTTAGCGAACATCTTTCTCTCCCGAAGATCAAAAGCTTGTGACTTTTGATCTGATTTATTATTTGCGTCTCTCGTTTAGTAAATATCGACCCGAAGTCTTTTTAAGGGAAATGAAAATGGAGACTCAGGTGAAATGTCGATGACTAACGCAATAATAATAAATACAAAATAGACGTAGAGAATAACGGAGCTCAAATGACGAAATCTGTGTTGGGGGGAGAAATTATATGGGGAGAAATTTTCTACGCCCGCAGGGCTGTAGTGGATCTATGGATAGAGAACGACCTGTAGGTTAACGAGATTCTTAGAGAAGGAGAGGAGAGTAAACCTTTTTTCCGTATGTATGTTAACCAAGTAATATTTTAAGCAGAAGTCTATCAATAGTTAGGTTTTAGTAAATTAAACACCAACTTATCAAACTCAATCAAAACCAGCTAATTGCGAACGCAAACTTTCTCTGACGATCATCAACGTTCTCATGATCGTCGTATCGGTGTTTGGAAAACATAACTTCGCATTTGATTTGCCTATTAATTCTTGATTAGAATCATGTTGACATGGAAGAATAATGCACGCTAATTAAAGGAAGATCTATTCAAACAAAAAAAAAAAAAAAAAACTCCCACGTGACTTCCGTTGCAACATAAAAAATGTTTTTTATTTGTATTGTATAACAATTTAAAAATCCCATTTCATTTGTGAATGCTATATTTTTCTCTCAGTTCAGTTTTGCAATTCCTTACTATCATCTCACTAGGAATGAATTTTTAGGCCCAGAAATATCATTATCGAGAATAAGCACACAAACAGACCCAATTATCACAACTCCAGGCTTTAAACAATTTTCAGTGATAAGTCAATTGAACTGTATTTTCGATTGCCATTATTTACATAAAAGTCACAGAGGGCATTTTATAGTGCACCTCAATAGAGAGTGAAGCATGAACAAGCGTGTGTATTGGTGGGCGCTTTCACTGAGACTAGCATTTTATAGGGTCTAGTTTTTACAACAGTTGTTTGGGTCCGAGGGACCAGAAGAACAACGGTGCTTCATCGTATTCCGTTTCGCGTTTCCATATTCATGGAAATGTTCGAGATTCTTGATTTTGCGGTTTTTGGTGTTCGATCAATCGTCAAGTGAATTGTTATTATTAAGACACAAAATTATCCATGATGTATTTGCACGATCCATGATGTATTTGCACGATCAGATTAGTGTATTTTTTACAGAATAAATGAACTACGAATTTAAATTCGATCCAACTCTGTGATTCAAACTATTGTTATCCATTGGAATATTTTAGGCTGACGAGAAACAGGTATGAAGTATAGCATTATTCACAATCAAATTAATTTCCGATAGTGTTTATTTAGGCATAAATTTTGGTCGATACTAGACCATTTCTTTATCTGCATAAATAAAAAAAACATTCAGGAGCTATGGCAGACTTATATGGAAAAATTTGTCTCACGAAGTTTTCAAACGTTTAATTGTCACCACCTTTGATTCATTTCATGCTAGAGCTGCGCTAAAGGTTCCGATTTCTTATAATAAAATTAAAACACATTTTTGGTGCTGTAAAAATGCTCCGAGAAGTAATTCGAAATCAGTTAGGGTGTATCTACTCTCTCAGCTTGGTTCTCGCAGCTACTTTCTAAACTCCAATACACAGATTTCTAGCCAATAAGCCACCGAGGTATCAGGGAAATGACATAATGCTTCATGTAAGATCAAGATTATTCGAGATTTTAGATCATTAGAAATCATAGGCGAATTTTCCGTAGCTAACTGCTGGTCGAACACCTATCATATTCGTCGGTTTTCGAGGCTTAGTATATACTTGAGCTGTGGACCCTTTTCGGATTTTTTGATTTCTGTTGCGGGTCCCAGTTTAATTCACCATAAAAGCAAGGCCAGTTTTTGCAAGGAATTTTTCTCTCTGAGAGTGTTATTAACTTGCAGCTGCTTCAGCGTCAGTGTGGTATGTAAAATAGAAATTCGAGACTGATATAATTGTGGGAGAGCTCCACCTGGATGCTCGTTCCTAAATCAGACTTTGAAAAATACGTTTTTTTAAAATGATGTTCTAAGATTGATCCAGTAAATTTACAGGATACTTTGTAAAGTATCCCAAATATTTGAATCTCATGATAAATTGCTTGCTCTATTTTAATGAGCATGTTTTCTTCGTTTTATGAGGATAATTCTATGCTCACATGTAAATTACTTAAAGAATCATGTTCTATCTACGAAAAGTAAATCGAAGATAAAATTCATGGGATTCATTAAATTCTTTTCGTAATGCAGGTTGCACGATGCAACAATTGCTTGAGTTGCGGAGACGATTTCGCCCGTAAAACTCATGTGATTTATCAATGATATAACATTAAATATTTTAAAAATATGTTGTGATTGGATTTGAAATTCATGGGAAAATTAGTGCGAGAGCCAATTTATACTAACAATTTTTGACAGTAATTATTTTAATGGGTCATGAAACATTTCGTTTATTGAATTTATGATCTATGAATAATTAATGGTGACAAGCGCAAATGAATAGATATTACAAGAAGATATAAACAATGAAAATAATTGAAAACTTCCCCATATTTTCACTGAAACATTTCCGGCCCAGCTTTCATCTTAAGTTCTACATACATGAATGCAATTATGTACAACAATTTTCGTGCGGATTAAAATCCCATTTAAAAATGTTTCATCTCAAGATAATGTTATTCACGGGACGGAGTTTACACAGCAATATCATATAACATCAGACGATAAGAGCCTTTTTCAAAAGAATTTACAAGCTGCCAACGACGGTGTTGTAGATGCTGCCATCGCAATACAATGGCTTGGCTCAGCGCTTTCACTAATGCCGAAACCGGTTCTCGTAGATCCTTCCCAAGCCGTAGTGGCTTCATCAAAAAAGTCGGTCAGCGGGAAGCTGGAAGCTGCAAGGGGAAGCTTTAACTTCATTGGGAATCATGCAGAGAAGTTTAACAGATGCCCAGAAATTAGCATCGGCGGGAATAATTTACTTCAGTAAGTTACGCTAGCTTGTGGTTAATATTCTTGAGTTTGAGCTTGCATTTATGAGAGCAGAAGCGGTAGAAATAAAATGGACTGCACTCATTTAAATAGGATTTGATATCGCCTGTAGAAAATTTAGCTGAATAAATCTTACAAGCATTATAGGCATGAAAGCCGAAGTATTGATGTTATAGAATCTTAATAATTAGATATATAGAGGCCAGTAATGGTAATTTGTTAGATGTTCATGTCTTAAAATTGGTGTTATTAAAGGCTAATAAAACTATTTTAATAGGAATTCATTTAATAGGGGAGCTTCTTAAGCGTTTGGATGTTGGGTACTACCTAGCTGTTTTTACCATGTTCCACTGATCGAAATAATTTTTACTGATAAAATAAACACTAAAATTATATGAACGCATTGTCGTATTTTATAATTTTTATATGTATGATAATTGAACAGAGTTTTGGCAGAAGAAGACCAATAAAATGAGGTTATATTATTGTGTGATTAAAATATAGAAATTGGTTGGTAACCATTGCTAATTATTGAATCTATTGCTTTCGTATTTGTATTAATTCGATAGAACTTCTGAATTCTCTTCAAAACTTAAAGCAGTCGCTGCGAATTACTTGGGGGTACCATTCTTCATCCATGGTATAACAAACAAATGAAAAATCTTTAAATAATTCAGAAGATGCGAATTACCTTACTTTTTTTCGTTCCACATCGAGCAAAATTTTTCCCACGACTGCAACGAAGACATCCATTAACTTTTTCTTGCCCAAATTAAAAAGGTTGCTCGGAGTAATAAAAATTACATGAGGAGCTTGTTCTATTACCTATCATTAGCTCCATGTGACCTAAAACACAACCTGCAGACCGGCAAAAACCAATGTTTTTCTCGTTCGGTTGAGTCGGAGAATGAAGACTCCAACAAAGACCGAGACTTTCATTTTTACAAATGTATATTGAACGAGTCGGAAATGCCCCGCCATATAACAACATATAATAAGGGTTTTCTTCTCATATATTTTTATATTGAAAGCTGTAGATTACAGTGAGGTCGAAATTAATTCAAGAGTTTCATTGAGATTTCCGTTTTGTATCGGTAGGAGTTATCAGAGTCATAGATATTTAGCCTATATGCAACGTATCTCATCACAAGATCTCATCACTAGTGAGTGGGTACTTAAATGACTTAGCAGTAAGTTAATAAATAAACTAATAAATAAATAAATAAATAGATAAATAAATATTTGATCTAGTTTCTAAAATAAATATTAATTAGTAAATAAATGTCGGGTCGCTATTAATGGTTATGTTTTGAATTGAGATCGAATATTTTTTCAGGTGATGAATATTTAAATGCAGTTCAATTTTCAAATGCTAAATCGTTATTATTCAAATGATAAATCAAACAAGCTGATGTTCACAGGCATAAATTCCTGCAACTACACTAAGGAACTAATTATTTTCAGTTTTCAGCAATGAATTTTTATCAATTACACGTTTTTTATAAATTTAAAAAACTACACATAGATGGATGTATGTCTTGTGTTTTGTTAACACTGAACCGGACCTGAAATTCTAGCCCGGTACTTTATAATGCATTTTTAATTCGTTCAGATTGTATTATAAGTAAAAAAACTGTTTTCGAATTTGGCACATGATAAATACGTATCCGAAGTCACTCCCGCATTTCAGTTTCAATGTATATTTTAAGCAGCCATTCTAATTAAAATTAGATAATATTTCTAATAAGCTAAATAATTTGTGTATAAATGTTCGATGTTTAAATATAACCTATTTTTGACCGTTTGGCTCCTGCTCAGCTAATCAGATTTTTAGGCTGTACAAGTTAACCGTATCATTTCTTCTATTAAGTAATTTACTGGTGAATCAGAAGTAAGCCGTTAGGGTTGATCACTGTAATCTGCTTACCCTGTTAGTGATTGCTTGCAGAGAAAAATAAATTTACAAGTGATAATCGGCAAAAACGTTGGGCCGATTGCGTACGAAAAATTATTCATCTCCAGAAGTTTTCACCCTTCGACGCTCCTTGTTCGTTTCCAACTTTAACTGTTTATGGAATTTCGAAATGGTTTTCCTGACTTGCATGCGACTCTGAGGACAAGTTCCAGATAGTTTGCTGCAATTAAAACCATCAAGGCCGAGCTGTCCGGCTATTTTGTAGTCAGCATGCCCAGGGTTCGTCTGCTGTTGACCCGGGGTCGCTTGGAAGATATTCATGCCAAGCTCTTCGATCCTGAGAACACGCAATCGTAGATTCAGAAATTAATTGCGGTTTTATTTTGACGACTCATGCCATTATCCTTGACTATTTCTACATGTACTGATAAATCAAAGAGAAAGAGTCTAAAGCATTTTAAAATGTCAATAAACTTTGAAAGCAACTTGTAATTCAAATTAATAACGTTTTTTCGAACGTTTGTTTGTAGATGTACAAAGTAAATGTTTTACAATTACTCACCTCATTTGACTTAAAACTTCAAATTCGAATTCCGTGAGCAAGCGCTGCTTCTGCCGCGTGAGGTCGCAAGTCAGTCGAAAAGCGCAGTGAGCTGCAGTTTTCCAAGCAGCAGATGTTACGTTTCGTTTGCCATTGTTCGATGTCCCAATTGTATAGTTTCTTCCTCCGTCAGGAGGCTCTTTCTGTCCAGTATCAACAATAGGTTTCCGTTGCCCATGATCAAGGTTCAAGTTTCTTTTGTACCTGCTTCTGTTTGAGTAATAACTGTCCCGTTTGCTGTAAACTCTGTGCTTGTCGTATCCTTTATGATCGTGTTCATCCTGATAGTCGTCTGGAGAATAGTCTACACCATTTTCACGGTACCAACGATCATACCAGTCTTCGTACCAGTCACGTCTGTAATAGCCTCCAGTTGATCCATAGTAGGGATCTGGTTCATCATACTTGTAGGACTTCTTATAATAAACGTAGTTTGAGAAAAAGTTTCGGCTAGCGATGATGGCTACAACAGCTAGGGCCCCTATTCCAATGAGACCCAAATTCAGTTGATACCAACCCGATAGCGCCGTGCCGATACCACCGCCGAAGCCTCCACCGCCACCATATCGCGGAGGTACGACTGCACCGTAGCCGCCGTGGATGTAGGGGTGTGAGTAGTTCGCAGAGTACGTATAATTTGTACCATTTGCGTATATAAGAGTGTGGATGTGGGTTACGTTATGGACGTGCAGGTGAGGAACTTTCTCATTTAGTACGGCTTGTGGAACCTCGACCACAATAGTCCGTTCTTGGGCCTGTTCAGGCTCAAACTGGAGGTCCGACCGTTGATGGTGCTCGTGGAATGGCTGTGGAGAGTTGAGGACTGTTGGTGACAGTGTCGTTACCTCTACACTGCTGGGCCAGAGGAAGCTGAACATCCTGCAATAAATTATTTAGATTTTTCACTTTGTTACTATATTTTTAACATGATTTATATTGCAAAAGACTATATATGAACTTTCGTGGGAATACATTTGACTATTTTTTATTATATATCCAAAATTTATTAAACGCTAAATTCAAGCATGGATTTTGAGTTTAGAACACGTGTGTTTAGAAAAAGTCTATCAGTGAAATGAATGAAAAATTAATTTTGATATCAAACAGGATGGAGATGGAGAATTGTATGATAAGGATGAAAAACTATTTAAAATTGAAATCTCATTTTAATTTTTTATATCCGTATTAGAAAAAAATTCATAGCAGATGATAAGAGGTAAGCGTAATTTTCTAAAAAATTTCAGTTAACTGCATCAGCTCTTTTTATGAAATTTTATATGTAAAGATGATAAAAAGTGAATTTATTGTTACTAATTATTGACTGCTGGATTTAATTCGTGAGAATTATTTCTTCGTGATTTATTTCCGGTCCAGAAATTACGCTACCTACACAGGGATTTTTTATTAACTTCTGCTCGCTAATTAAAGGTTCGTTGGCTGAATCAGAATAAAGATTAATTTTCCTGAAAAAACTGAAGCGAATTCAAAGTTCAATTTTTAATCTATGCAAAAAATTTGAATTATCTATTTTTAAGTCTAAAATTTTGTTCAGTATATAGGCTGAACAAAATATGGATAAAATATATCCATTATAAAATATGAATAATTAAAATTCATAATTCTATAAAATTATTCTTATCGTAAAAGGAATCTGTTCATAACTCTGAATTCATTCAATGGAAGAATGAGAACCACATATGAAAAAAACATTGATGCACTATATTTTAAAATGGGAGAAAATTTATCAATGTAAATTATTGAAAATTAGATTAATTGTTGACCAATCTGAAGAAAATTAGATTTATAGGTGTTCAAATTGAAGAAATTAGATTTGCTGTTACTAATTAATTATAAAGACTATATTGTAATATGCAGCATTTCTTTTAGCTTACCTGATCAGAGAAAGGATTTTTTACCCATTTCTGACTCGTGTTGTCACCCGACGAAGGTCGAAGACGATTCACTTCATTGCAAAAATCAGTCAACATCAAAAACGCATGTCATTTGTGAAAAACCGGTTGCTGAATTGAATATTCTTAGGAAAGTTTGACTAAAACCCGATTTTCAGGTAACTAATTTATAGAAAATTTGCACTTATGAAACTAATTGACTCATAAGAAGATATTGAAAATTTCGGCTCGCGAAACCGAATTTCTGGGTTACTTTTTAACGAAAGTTCTAATTATTGACGGAATACTCTCGTGTCAATAGCTTAGATTACAATCTGAAAAAAATATCAGTGTACAGTTAGGAAAGATGAGCACGTGCGGTACTATTTAGTTACTTATGAAGTTCTTACTGTAAAAAAAAAGACATAATATGAAAACATTAGTAAATTTACAAATAATAAAAATTTATTAACGCGATTATAGCATTAAAGTTGTGGAACGAAATTTATTGATCATATTTGTTTTACGTTAAAGATTAAACGAGCATTAATAACTTTCTGCTCGAATCTGAAATAATAGAAAAATATTTTGAGAAATACTCCCAAATTTATTTTTTTCTGAAGATGCTCACGTGTTGGACAATTTTCTCTTTCTTTTCCTTTATTCACTAGAAATAAAACTTCTATCATAAAATAAAAAAGTTCGAGTTTTTTGCTTCCGAACAACACAACTCGACTCAATAAAACTTTTTATACACTCGGAACCCTTTAATTTTCGTGTTAACAATCTACTGACATGGTTCTCGATCACTTGTGGGTAGTTTGGAGTCTTGAATGGATCTCAAACATATAAGTTTCTTCTATCCATTATGTTTCACGTGATCTCTTTTTACTTTTTTTATGCTTGTGGTCAAGTCGTTTCCTGAACAAACAATAATTAAATCTTCGCCTTTTATGATCGAGATCGTTGATGTTCATACCACTTTTCATCGTTGATCATTCCTTTATTACTTCATTAGTAAAAATCCTCACAATCTCCAATGATTTGTATTTTAAGAACTTTAGAGATCAGCAAAATTTGATAAAAATCAATATTCGCTTTGAATAATTACCACTCAGTCATTAGCTTGACGTGAATCGTGTTTTATACATTCTAGTGTTGCTTGGCACATCAAAAATGTTTTGGATATCTTCGTATTAAGATCCTGTTTCTAGAGTCTGTAATTCACGCAAAAACAACTTGTCAAGGGACGCACTGTCGCTTGGGGTGCTCCATTAATCAGGAAAAGTTGTTCTTAATGCACGTGAGTATTGCGACGAATTCCAAACTTCTGCTCTTCAACGTCAAGCACTCAAAAATTTCTTGAATAAATCGACCAACATGTACAAAAAACATTAGTAACGCATCTGCTTGTGTACGGAATCCATCTTTCTCACTCAGGAATGCCTCGGAACTGTCGCCCTATAACTGGCGATCGAAGAGCACAACCCTGTTCAGGCACCGTCCGTCTCCAGAGCGTATCTGAAGCGCTGGTCTCTGCAGAGTCGTAGCGTATCCTGCCTCAACTCTCTCGCAAGCCAGAGACGAAAATGGTGGCTGGTGTTCAGGAATGAGATTCTCTTGCATCCGTGGCTTGGCAGCGTATGTTGCGATTGCAGATTGGGGAGGCGGAAGAGAAAATCCCTGCATGAGCTAGAGGAAAGTTGACTTGCCGAAGATGGTTCGTCGTTCCAAAGGCTTCTCTGTAATTTCTTTTGACGAACTACCGTTATTTTCAGCCAACTTCCTTCTGAAATTAATCACAATGAGGATGTTCTGCTGCCGCAACGGGAATGCAATGGAAAAGTATTTACTGACACTTCTCTTCGCTGGTAATACTATTTTATGAGTAACTGCTTGAAGTGTTAATTTTCACAGTACTAAAAGAGTGAAAATGATATAATTGTAAACAGTCTTGCTAGAATTGCTTCACTCCTTAAAATTCTGCACCGAAGAAGGAAAACCAATTCGGGTAATGATTGCTTCAATTTTAAATTTCTAATTTATACATCCTGATGTTAACATTGATTTCTTCAGCCCACACATGAAGGGATACATCATTTGTCCACTGAAAATGGCAATAATAACGGCTATAAATATTAATGTTGCCAAAAACTTTCCTCTTAAGTAAAACGTCTAAAAAGGGCGAAGTCTGACAACTCAAACGAGAATTTCAGAGCCATGCAGATAATTGCGAAATTTCCAGCGTATATTCCATGTACAAATAGACTTGGCTGTAGAAAAAGCATCATGCCCCAAGTGAAAGCGATGAATGTTTTCTCCCAAAAAACTTGATCTATGTTTTTCATATCTGCGGTAATATAGATCACACTTTTTAAGGCCTTCTCCTAAATGTCGATAATATGAAATTTTTTTTCATCAATTGGGCAATTTTCATCAAAAATGGCAAAACTATGAGAATTGGCTATTAGATTCGCATACTTTAAAGCGTTATTTTAGTAGATTTCAAAGTTGTATATTTTATAAAGTAGTTCTAATAAGTTTTAAAGCAGTGCAGTGCACTTTACACAGAAGTTGTTTTAGATAATAGAGTTCAACGATTTATATAGCAGATATAATCGGTTTTAAAGGCAATTATACTTAACAAAGTAGTTATAACAAGATTTAGTTACATACTTCCTAAAGTAATTCCTCAACTCACGCAAGAAGATAACTTTTTTTTTAATCACCGCATGGTGACATTTTTTGTTATGCCCGTCATAAATACATAAATACATAGTACATAAAGTACGATGAGGCGTGCGAAATTACTTCATTAGAGGCATCTCGAATAATGAAGTCTGCTGAATAATAAAAGACGATCTTACACCTCATAAAGCGCAGATTTTAATAATTTGTTCAAAAACTATTGTTTCCTAGAGCATAAGTTGACCGTGAATATTGCATTTCATAAATCAAGAATTTTTAAGTCGATTCTCAGAGGTAAATTTTTGCAAGGCTCAAAATTTAAAATTTTACCGAACTTTTACAACACTCCAATTTTCTGGCAATCGTCACAGTAGGAAAAGGTTGCGTTATGGAATAAATTTGATTTGATATGAGTTGTCAAGTATTTGAGATAAAATGTTCAATAAATGTTATAGGAATCACGTAAATTTTATGCAACAATGAAGGAGTACTGCATTTTATTTTATTTATGTATAAATGTAACGAAGTATGCCTCACATATACTGTACATTTGTATGCACAATTTTTCGATTTATACATATTTAGTTTTCTACCATATAATAATTTTCTTCTTATCAAAACGAGTTCAATAACTTGATATGAAATCCTTAATTAAATTTATTGCCAGAGAACAAGTTTAAACTTTTGTCCCTGCATCCGATGCCTCTCAAGATAAAAAAAACACAAAATGTACCAAGTAAAGTAATGGCATTGATCAATGATTCTGTTCGACATAAAAGTTTCTAAATCTTAACTGTAACTGGAACAGGATATTAATATGGCACTTCATTGGACTCTTCCCTCCTGGTGGAATCATTGCAGTCATTGTATTTTCATTGCGACTAATCGCAATTATTAAATATTTATTTCCATAACTGGATCATTTGTTGAATAGTTAGTTACTGATATTTGTACTCATTTTATCAAAATTGATTATTAATAATTAAAAATTTGATTTTCGTGCGCTGGTTTGCTTAAAATCTTAGGAAATTCGCAGTCAAGTGTTAGGTAATTTGGATAGAATATAATATATTCTATCTTTCTTTGTGAGGAACGCGTATCTTGATCGAGTGACTTGATTGAAATATGCATATAGAATGTTGAAACGATCAGAAGATATGAACGGAATAATTAAAGCACTTTTCACAATTTTTATTGTCATTTAATTCCTGTAATATATTCATCAGCGCACGCAGTGTTGGTGATTGACTATTTATTTAATAATTGTGCAGTTTTTTCTACGATTATATAGAACGCTATTTAATTCTAGTGGATAAAAATATGCGTCAACATATTTATCTGTTTTATTGCATCATAGCGTTACTATGAACATCGCACTTAAGCTATAATCATATACAAGAAAATTAAAAGTATATAATTTGGTCTGTGAGAGGTAATTAGGATAATTAAGATTGGATTTAGCGTGAATTGACATAAGTATCAAATCGATCCAATTATGTTATTGCACTAGTCAAAATTGTTCCTATAGATCATATGGTCCAATCGAAACTTTTTTATAATGTAATGCAAATATAAATGCTCCACTAATATATTATTGATAAATATTTGCTGTACAATATCTACAATTGACGTTAACTAAATTCACTCATGTTTTCGCGAAAAGTTTAATTTCAAGTTATATGTACACACATAAAGCAACCAAATAGTAACATGAGAGGTCAACTTATGAAACTGTTGGTTATTTCAGCCCGAACTTGTTTCTGGTTCCCACTTCATTTATTGTCATTCATTCCGTATGCTGAAAAATAGAAAGCTGTTCTACGTTTTCACAACTGACACACTAAACTTCTACTTCATAAATGCCTGAGAAGAGAAAGTGCAAGTCTTTGTCATTTGCAGTTATTTGGCATGAATAAATTGTAATATATTGTTATTTTCGCCACTTCTCACACAAATTGCGTACGCAGGAAATGCCTTCTGTTGATCACTTATGGTACTAATGGAAATTGATTGGATATAAGTATTAAAATCACTTGTTTGCTTAAATCGCAAGTTAACTAGGAATTTAAAAGCAAAAACAATACCACAAAAATTCACCATATCTTTATAAGAGTAAACGTTTCGGAGTCCAGCTCCATCGTCAGTTCACAAAATTCAGTTCAGAAGAAGTTCAGATCTAGAAACACAAATACAATCAATTAGTAGAGTAAAAGGCACTGTTGGGTTTTAAAACGGAGAATAAATAAATAAGACATGAAATTAACGCTAGTAAACGGCCTATCTATTTACTATTTCAAGAGTAACGGAGCTAAAATTTAAACGGCATTTAGACTAGGCTTCTGCTTGAATATATATAGGGATTCTAAAATGCGTAGATCAGTAACACCGGATGCGGAAGCTAGAATTTTAAAATCATTATCGGATACAGAGGTGTTGCATTGCTCAGCATGAACACGTACAGCAGAATTAGGTGGATGTGCAAGTAGGTTCCCCGTCCTATAACTCCTGCCCTTATGCTCAGCCAGCCTAGTATAGAAATTGCGTGACGTCATACCGACGTACGCTGATGCGCACTGCGCACAACTATATCTGTAAACTAGTGACGATCGCATAAGAACAGGTAGGGTATCCTTAAACCTGAAAAACGAGCTGATTCTAAAATTGTTAACTAGCAACACATGAAGATTTACATCCGAAAGATATTTAGCAAATAAAACTTTTAATTCCTTTGACATTAAAAGTCATGTCTTATTTATTTGTTCATGTCTTATTTATTTAATCTTCGTTTTAAAACCCAACAGTGCCTTTTACTCTACTAATTGATTATATTTGTGTTTCTAGATCTGAACTTCTTCTGAACTGAATTTTGTGAACTGACGATGGAGCTGGACTCCGAAAGGTTTTCTCTTATAAAGATATGGTGAATTTTTGTGGTATTGTTTTTGCTTTTAAATTCCTAATGGAAATTGAACATGCCCACTAATGGCCCAGTCATTATCAATCGCATTACACATTAGTACATAATTTAATTTAAAACTAAGCATAATAACTTTTTTAACGAAAAATCTACCATAAACTCTTCAAACAGTAAATATGAGTTTATTTCCACCTTGATAAAAGATTTTGCTCTCCAAACTGAATGTGTCATTTATTTAATCATTTATTTTGCTTTAAAAACTTCAGTAATTTTTCGGATGATTATCGCTCCATCCTGAGTAAAAAAATGCATCTCTATTCCAACTAATAATTTATATAATTACGCATTGATTATATATAAATAATTAAAATAAATAAATAATAAATTCGTATTGATTCATGTAAGTTTGGCCATTTCGACAGCTTCCATCATCTGCCGAGCGTTGTAGGGGCAACTGCTGTAGACTTGGTGGCAAGACGCTCCACGGGCGCCCAGTCGAGCAGCTTCCTTATACTCAAGCAGCAGGGGGCTGTCTGGTAATAGACCTTCGCCTGGTCTGATGGAGTTGAACAACTCGTCTCCATTGCTGAAAAAATTGAATTAGAGGCTGAGTTATGTTCAGATATATCGTTAATCATGATTCAATTTATTAAGACTAAAATTACGTGAATGTATCGAAAACTATTCGGTTAAATGAAATTCAATTGATATATCAGTAAAATCGTTCATCAGCTAATTTTGAAATGTATATGAAAGGGAGCGATGAAAGCTTGTATACAAATTTCTGACAATCTAATTCTTTCCAAAATTTCGCAAACATGTTGAAAAAAAAATCTGGGACGAGTCTAAAACTAGAATCATTAGCTCTCGTTATGAACCCCATACCAGTTCCAACTTCTAAGAACACGCGGCGAGTAAGAATGTTCGGGGGAAAAAACAGTAATGAGCAAATTTTTCTTACTGGATGAGTTGGAGAATCGATCGTTCATCCTCTGACAGCAACCAATGATCACGACTGGCGAGCTCGCAGACGAGTCGAGGACCGCAGTTTTCTGGATCATCTTTCCGAATTTGCGCCAGAATTTTTTCTTCTTCGGTTGGCTTTGAATTGAGTCGTGATTTGAAGCGCTTTAGTTTTCTGGCCTCGATGCTGCGGCGATAGCGCTTTTCCCTCGATTTCGGCGGGTTTTCCCCGATGCTCTTGTAGTATTTGTCCCAGTAATCTTTGTAGTAATCTTCATAGTATTTATTATAATATTCTTCATAGTACTTTTCATATGAGTCGGTGTTTTTCTTTGATTTAGAAGGAGTTTGTTCAGCAGATCGCCGGTAAAAATCATCAGCATCTTTCGCAAAATCGTCATTTCTCCCATACAAATCACCGTATCCTCCATAACCGTAGCCCCCACCTCCACCATATCCTTCATCGTAACTTCCACCGTATCCACCACCTCCGTATCCTCCTCCTCCTCCCATACCATATCCTCCACCGTAGTCACCACCGTAGCCACCACCGTAGCCACCACCGTAGCCACCACCGTCGCCCAGAGTCTTTTTCCTCAGTATCCCAGTTACGCCAAGTGCACCAAGGCTTATCAGACCAACCTTGATTAGGTACGATGCGTACGTCATACTGGCCGACAAGCCAGCCGAAAGAACCGACATGTCACCTTATGAATGGAAAAAAATAAGTGTTAACTTAATTTTTATATAGATTAGCAGTTAAAAAATGTTATCATTGCTCTTAGGAATAAATCACATGAATACTATTTCACAATTTTTGACAGAAAATCTAAACATATATCAACGCTAAAATACTTATGTTCCATACACAGTTTTAATTGAAATGTAAAAGTTATAAATCATGCCCTAAATATAATACCAGATGCCAAACCTGCATAATATTCACAGCAATCAAATACAAGTTCAAATGGAAATGAAATTTCTATTTGCGTCTTTTATAACAGGGAGGCATTTCCGGCTTTAATTAATAAGGTTCTCTTTCATGGAACTTCTAGTCTTCATTTAAGTGAATGAAAACAGAAATCATAATATGTAAGGGACGTAAAGTTATCTAAAAAATAAATCTTGAAGGGGGCTGTGACTAAGTCTGAAAGAATTAATGCACAAAATTCAAAATTTCCAAATTCAAAATTATGCGAAATAATAACCGAAATGTTGCTAAGTTTTATACTTCGTTAATTTTATTCTCCTGCTGTATTTGTCAGAATTACAGGTTAACATTAAATTCGTAAAATGTCTTGGTCGAAAAACGTAGATGTAAAAGATCGTCAAAAAGAACAAGGTCAATGAGATTCTGCCTTAGAGTCTTATGGGATTTACTCAGGTGATTATTGATTTGGTGTGTTTTTTTTGTATTTATAGAAACATATGTCGCTACGCTAGCCCGTGCACAAGTGAAACTAAATGAAATTGCCTGTGTCCAACAATGATGCTTCGCTCGGGGCAACTTCAAATAAATCAATCGAAGTTCTGGCTGTGGGCAGATCACTGTTTGGACTGACGACCTTGAATTGCGGGACGTGTAAATAATTGAGAAAAAAATTCATCCCTTGGAAAATAACCATTCTGTACTGATCGTAAATACTTGTCGTATTTGAATATCGTCTTTCGAATAAACGCAATTAAGGGCCCTGCGGGACGAGGACGATCATATTTTTTTTCTTAGATATGATACAATTGGCAAGCACTGTAGCGGCATTAAGTTTACGCATAACCTGATTACTTACTTGTGAAAATACACAGTGTCTCTCTTGCACTGAAATCAAAGTCCTCACTCACTAACTAATCACAAGTGCTTCTAAACACATTTCAAGATAATTAGGATGTATCCTTTCATTGTCTTTCCCAGCACCACTTTTTGGGCATGTGCTGCTCACGGAAAGACCGTCTATTGCGCAGGTTCACGGTTGAATGCGGCCTCCATGTACACGGTACCTCTGGAATCTTCCCGCAGCTGCCGACACCGCGAAAGTCGTGCCGAAGAAAGCGGCGGCGGCATCGGCGTCCTGCAGGCGTGGTATCTGCGGGTCAGAGCTGAGAGAGGCAGGGCGGGCGTTCGCCGCTCTCACTGCCACAATGTAGGCCAGATGTGTTTTTGCCCACAGGTGGTGGAAACCCACTCTCATAGAGGAGACTCGAGAGGTAGTGTCATGTAGTTGCAACAGGTGGGCGTGCCGGAGGGTACTTATTAGCTGAGGACGTGAGTGTCGCATGATGTTGATTGGCAGAATTATTCAGAAAGATTTTTTTTCTCCGAGATGATCTCATTACACAAGACATCGGGTTATCTCAGGTCCAATGTGTTTATGATAAATATTTAGTTTTTGTAAATTATAATAAAAAAAACATCCTGGGTGTTTGGTTACCGATATTGTACGGGTGTGTTTGTTCCGTGGACTTTTTGTTCAAAAGGTGTGAAAAATAATTGTTGGAGTCAACGGTTTTGTTGAGACTTACAATACAGTAATTTGAGTTACCCGTTTTCTTTGGCTTAAACAGTTTCTCCGGCGAAGACCTTCAATTTTTCCATTTCTTGTTGCAAATTCTTACCCACACAGGCGTAATGAATTGATGCTCTTTCATTCATTTTACAATTAATACTGCGTCATTAGGACACCGGAGTTGAATTATTCAAGTACCCTTTTTTCGTCATTAATTATATTTATCCAAGACGTCTCATTCTCACCAATTAATCACTAAAGTGTTGTGTTTTAAACCTCTGGACTAACTTGGCAAGTGTTTGTCAAACTCAAATAAAGTCTTGGGCAAGTTCGGGTGACTTGCAGCTTTGGAAGTTTTTTTTTTTTTTGTGCATGGTTCCTGAATTCTTTTTGGTGGTCGAAAATAAGTCTTTTGACTCTGTTGCAAAAAAGTATGGTCGTTTTTCCATGTTTTTCAAGCTCAATGAAACGGTTTTTACACACCATATCCTAGAACGCTCTGGCCATTCAGAAACTAGAGCGTTCACAGAATTAGTGTAGTGGAATTTCTATATATGTACACGGATTTTTCTCATGATTACAGTTCAACAGAGATAATCTTAAAATTACATTAATGCGGTAGGTATTTAAAAGTCTTTACTACTGTATTTGGTTTAACATATATTCACTGTACACAAAAAAAATAATACAAAGATATTCTACCTTTAAAATAAATATTCTAACATATTATTGCTACAATAAATAAATGCAAAAACTATTGTAAAATAACAATCACGGGCTTTCTTGGTGTGTGAATAACAATTCTTTGTCTTGCCACATCCGCTGCTTTGCATTCAATTGCTTTAGTTTAAATGAGAGATAATTAGTACTGAGGGGAACGCATGTTGGTCTTCTTGTTGAAAGACTGCAAACTTTCAGTGCCATTTAAATACTTTAAAATTACTGGCATTAGAGACAATAAGCTACCGCGGTCATGTACGGTAAGTTCTCATATGCAATATGGAAACATACCTGAAATAGCAATGAAACTTTTACTACTACTTACTTTTTCACTACTTTACTACTTTTGTTATTATGTGTGCTACAATATCCGACAATCCAATAATCCGCATGGAATTTCCACAAGCTTGCGAAAGAAAGAAATAATTACAAATTATATGTACTAACAAAAGTATAAACCGTCGCGGAGAATCATCTACATTAATAATATTTTCCTAAGGTGCAAATATCAGTTAATTTTCCTTGCTATTCCAGGTATGTTACCATATTGCAGATGAGAAATTACAATTTCTCATCTATTGATTACAAATTGTTGGTAAAATTAATTTACAATTATTTATTGGTTTCACAAGTTTATGGCAATTTCATACGGATCATTGGATTCTCGGATATTGTAACGCACATAATAACAAAAGTAACAATGGATCTTGAGGATCAACTGAGAAAATGGTATTACTGTTATCTCGAGATTTAACTTATTCTTTCATTCGACCTAAATGTAATAAATAATTTGTGTACTTACATTATTTACACATGACTTAATTTGTTCGTACTTTCACAGCTCCTCAAAGCCTGTATTAAACGCAACACTCGGCTTTCAAAACACTCCTGAAAGTACCTAATTCTGAAATTATCTAACGTATGGCTCTAGATTGGTTTCAAGATTTTGTATATGTACCAGTGTTTAAATCTGGCTCTATTATGCTTCACCTTTTCAGAACATGAATAAAATTTATAATTTCGGTCGCTGAATATGGACAATTTCTGTATCGTTGCGAGCAGGCACCCCCAGTCCTGCCAAACTTTGCCGCAGCTCTGTAATCTGCAAGGACAGGACTGCTGCTGCGCACGCCTTGCCCTGGATGCGCGATGTTGAAGAGCGCGTCGCCAGACCTGAAGAAATATAACTCAGCACTCACTGCAGTGAGTGACAGAGAGCGCATTTTCTCGTCGATGAAAACTTGAGGTCACGGACAGACGGACGGACAGACGGAGAGACAGACGGACATTGCGAGCACAATAGTGCATTTTTTCCATAAATGAGAAAATGCTCTAAAAATGAAGAAGCAACACCGATATCAATATCTTCGTTCTGAACTTTGTTCTCAGTTTAAATATTTTTTAAACTATGATAGATTGCGAACACTGGAAATGAAAATATTTTAAGTTTAAAAAAATTTTTTGTTGTCATACACTAGAAAAGTTTAAGTTCAAGCGATGAATTGAATATCATTGAGATAATTTGTTGCCTCTATGGAAATGGATCCAGTGATAGCACAATCGATCGTAACTTCTAATACATTTAATTATTCAATTGCATTATTTCCTGTGTGAATAAGTGTCATATGAGAAAAATAGGAGAAAATAATTATTGTTTGCGGTAGCATGGAATATTAATCGTGGATATACCACCCAGTATAATTGTGTACCTGACAAATTGCAGGATATCCCACTCTTCTTTGCGCAGAGCTCTGAATTTCACAGCGGAAATCTCGCAGACCAGCCTCATGCTGCAGCCATTCGCATCCCTTCTCTTCAGCTCATCAACGATAATTTCTTCTTCATTGCGTGTCCTGCGATATTTGCGACCTTTTGATCTACGGATATCCCCATGGATGTAACCACCTTCTGCAATATCCGTGGATCTCTTCTTCCGTATCCATTCTGAATTACGTTTGTTATTTTTTCCATGTCGACTCGAGCCACCGATTCTCCCTCGGTTACCATAAGGAGAGGGAGCACCGTATGAAGGTCGATGTCCATATCCTCCTTTTTGATCTTTATATCCACCATACCCTCCTCCGTAGTCTCCGTATCCTCCATAATAATCATAATCTCCGTAATCATCTCCGATAACTCCACCGAAACCTCCATGCCCGAGATATGACGCTAGCCAGAGAGCGCCGAGCCCGATGAAGCCCGCGTTCAGGAATGACGCGGAGTAGACCAGGCCGAGGGCTCCGTGCGCGAGACCGGAATACGCGCCCCACACTCCCAGACCCGACGTTGCATCAACAGTGGTCATTTAATCCCCTGTAAGCCAGGAACATTACAGTTAGTATTCAAATTTAATATGCAATAATATATAACATATCGGTAATCAATAACGAGAAATCGTTAAATTCGAAATAAATTACTTAAGTGAATATATCATTAACGAAAAAGAAAACGTAATTAAATCAAAATAAATGTTTAAGTTTTAATTTTGTTGCATATTTAGTTCGTCTGTTTTGAAGAAGTAATGAAATACATGATATAGTAAGGATTTCTTGTCCATAAACCATCGATTCTTTCATCTATCTCAAAACTCGATATTATTAGTATGCGTTTCGTCTCAAGTTTCCATTGGAACAATGTTCATCGAAATACCTTCATTTGTTCGTTGAAAAAATTATTGAAATAATCAATGTTCATTGGAATAATTTAATTTTTTCCTGTTTGCACTTTTAAGTGATGCACGCACTGGCTAATTTTAATATTTTATGGATTATTTCTTCCAACGCTCTGCTGGATAATTAACTCTAGCTAACGCCAGCATCAGGTTGAAGATAATCAATGTTAGCGAGACGGGATGACGAACAACAGATTAGAAAGCGTCCGGTTTTCTATAGCGGAAAGAAGTCGTTGGATTGAAGGGCTCGTATCGATATTAGAGATGTTCTTTCATGTCCCATTGTTCTTTTAATGGGGGAAAGCTGATTGATTGGCACTCGATTAATGCAGTCGCGCTGCTGATGTCAATTGAATGGCTTATGAGAAATACTGAAGCCATTTGACTGGCGCATATGAAAAACTTATTGCAATTGAAAATCCGTTAACAAAAATTGGTCAAATTTGTGTCATGATTGCTGTATCAGGTTGTGAGAAAGTGATATTATGAGGGTTGTTTCAACATGAAAATAAGGTAGGGATCCCTGACGAAAAACTTATTCGATATCCCGGATAATTAACTTTCATTTACTACCAAAGCAACTGCATGAACATTATCATTTTGTGTTGAACATTTTCAACAATGCTTAAAGTTTACGATAATATAAAAATTCTACCACAATGCTTTTTCGAGAAAAAGTAAACTACTAATCAAATCAATCAATTGTATTCAAGCTCATACATGTATTCAAGCTCATGCATACATGTCTTTACAAGTGCCTCCATGTCAAAAAACTGCTCCCAAAATTCCCAATTACTTTCTCGACTTCGGAGCATATCTTCACCATGAGCAGGAGAAAGCTCCATCTGTTCTTATGTCCGCTTGTTGGGTGACCAATCGTAAACTCAACTCAATAAATCATTACACAAAGGCTTTTATGAATCGCAGATTTACATTTTTTAATTAACCGGTATTGTAATGAATTGAAAGTAAAATTTCTAATGGATATGAATGATTACAACGTTAATGACAGATAAAGTTTCAATTATTTTTAAACCAGGCAAGTTCATTTATATTGTTATACTATCAAAATTTGAGCGTTACTCGCATTTAACTAATATCAATACCATTGCGGATCAAATAACATATATTAACCGTCACTCACTGATGTGTAAACGGCTGTAGAAACTTTCTCAACTTTTTATCAGTGTGGCTACTAAAATACTGGAATCCATTAAGCGGATTTACCGGTATTCCACAGTAATTTGCCGGCAAAATTTCAAGTTTTTAACATAACTCACTTTCGATAAGCGTATTGTAGGATTTTTTTGTGGGTCCTTGAGAGTTTTTAATGAATTTCTGACTCTCTATCGATATAAGAAAGTGACTTCAGCAAATAATTCTTGTGAGAGATTGTCAGTCCACTAAGATTGGACGAATCTTTTAAATAAATTTCTCCGGATTTCTCCTGCACATGAATTAGCTTGAGTAACATATGATTGGTTAATGGCAATGGGTCATATTAATAGATCAAACATTGTCATCATATCAATTAATTAATACTGTACAATTAACCTCACTTACACTTAGAACAAGGATTGTGTTCCAATAACTTCAAAAGTAAGGAAAATGCTTTCCTGGAAGCGTATTTAAGCGACGGAGAAGCTTGAAATGTTGGAGTGTATCTGGCACTTCACTTTCTAAGAACACTCGTCCAGCAAGACTGGAAGCGTTCAACCACGAGCCTCGGTTTATAAAGCAACGAGAGAAAGGATAGGCGAGTAACAAAGAAAGCTGAATTTTAGATGTGGAAGCGAGAAATTTATTTTTCAAGGTCTTATTTTACGAGTATTCATAATAGTACTCATGGCGAAAAATAAATATTATTATTTACACCACGAATATTCACAAATAATAATTTACGAATATTTAACTGATTGCAACTCTTTTCCAAACTATATTTTACTCGGGTCTTTGGAAGACTTGGATACTGTTATAGGTTATTGCAAATTTCGAAATATTTTGCGAGTGTTTTTTTATTTACTCAGTCAGATGCGTAACATTTTATTGATGAATTATTCAACGTTTTAACATTTTTAAAATATTCCTTCATTACTTAAAATTTTCAATACAGTTCAACTCTGACGTTCATTATACTCTATTGATATTGCAAAGTGAATTCATTAAACTATAATGGAGGAAATGTTGGCTCATCCGATAAACGATGAATTTTAGAGGATCAGAATTAAAGGAATTCACCTCTGACCTAAACTCCGGTTCAATGCAGGCAAAGGTTTCGATGAATACTACATGGATTTTGATAAGTGTACGTAAGAATATAAACAACGAAATGCATGCCAAATAATGAAATAACTATGTCATTTCTAAAGTGGCTTAATTTATAGAATTTGACCGTCCAAATACTTAAACGGAATTTGAATGACTCAAGTAGCTACTTTAATGCAACTGCTTTCTTCTAGCGACAGGCCAAAAATATGCAAGGGAAGAATTAAAACTCTATAAAACTTTCATTCAATATTAAACAAAACAGCTCGAGGAGAAATAACAACAACAACTTACGAAATATACGCAATATCTACATATATTTTAGCTAAAATATCAACGGTGACAAAAATGAATTCAATGTTCGAGAAATTTTCCTGTGAATGAAATCATTCCATAGGGAAGAAGGTTCACTAATTGGGGTCAAAGAATTTCATATATTACTCGAATCATTTCACATAAGAACTGTAAACGAAATTATTACAAAAACTATGTTACATTTTTACAATCCAGGTGCATATAATTTTCAGAAAGTGTGCGGTTACACGAAAGACTCTTACATTACTTTGTCCCATTTAATTTGGTTGCGTTAAATGGCAAACATAATAATGTAAGGATATTCAAATTAACTGGTAGTAATTCAATTATATAATTTCACATTATAAATTTCGACGTCAGAGATGTTACTGCTCAACCACAGAGATCATCCAGCAACGTGCATCAAATTTGAACAGGTTCCTTCCATTACATTTGCATGAACACATCTCCTAAACACAAGTGTATTTTTTACTCCGAGTGAATAAAAATTGCCTTGATTTCGATTCATAAAATTAAATAAAAAGATATTTCTAATTAAAAAAAGTATTCAAACTATATATTCTTCGCGCTTCTAGTATTTCATTAATCATAGTTTTTGCATCAACAGGGCATGAAAAAAATTGATCGCTGCAGGAGCCTCCTCGCTGACCAAGATAGGCCGCCTCTTTATAGTCCCTCAGAGCCTCGCTTGTGGGACCGATCCCTTGGCCCGGGAACGCCTGGTCGAAAAGTTCGTCGCCGTTCCTGAAGATAAAAAAATTAGCTAAATTTAGAATGATTTTCGTAGAATACAATATTTTTATTATTATTGTTCATGAAGTACTGATGATTTGGCGAAATGAGATCACCGATGAAAATTAACAAACTTGTTTACAACTAAACCTTGTAGCGCACCAGACTTTTGTAATATTATAATCGGACCTAGTTTATGAACAATAATATCAATGCAGTCCGACAAGTTTTAAAAATATCTAATTCTTCTATAACTTAGTTCACCAAGCAGGCCAATACCGTTTATTGATATAATAATGGTACAAAATTGGGCTAACTGATACTTTAGTATCGAGAAAAGGCATAGCTATGTCAAAAGTTTGCTTACCATACAAAAGCGAGGATTTCCCATTCTTCCCGAAGAAGAGGTCGGTCTCTGGTAGCTGAAAGTTCACAAACAAGCCGAAGTCCACAATTGTTTCTATCATTTTTCCGTATTTCTCTTAGTAACTTTTCCTCTTCCGGCTCTGAATTTGATTGCAGAACAGCACTCTCAATTACTTCGTAATTGGAAGTCCACTCTGGAGTTTTGGTGTAACCCGATTGCAAGTTAGCGTAGTTTTCGGCATTTCTTCGGTTTCTGCGATGGCTTCTTCTTCGACACTTTGAATCGCATTCTTCGCTATAGATGCTGTGACTGTGTAGTGCACCAAATCCCTCTTTACTTGCTGAACTTCCACTGGGAGATTTGAGTAATGTTTCTGGGAAATGGAATCCAGTTGATGCTTTTGGAAGACCGTAGAGTGTGTCATCTTCTTCTAAGCTTGCGTGATGCGCTTTAGACGAGGGTCTTGAGCTACTTTTCGATTTGCTGTCGGAAGAGCTTTTGTGATGAGATTCGTGCGAATGGCTTTTGTGATGAGAATCGTGTGAATGACTTTTAGACTTCGAATGACTCTTTGGGCGAGAGTGACTTTTATGGTGTGAGCCGTGTGACTTACTTTTGGAGTGGGAATGACTTTTTGGTTTATAGTGGCTTTTGTGATGAGTTTCATGCGAATGGCTTTTTTGATGAGGTTGACCTTCGTAATGCGACTCATGTAAATGATGTTTATGATGCGATGCCTGGAAATGACTTTTGTGATGAGACACAGCGTGGCCATCGTGACCTTTCTGGTACTCATGGCCACCCTTGTGATGCCCTTTACTATGTCCCTTAGAAAAATTGTCACCGATATTGTTGAATCCATCGAATCCGAGTCCATCTCCATATCCACCTCCTCCAGATCCGTAGCCACCAGCATATCTTCCAGGAAACCTTCCACCATATCCACCTCCACCACTATATCCTCCTCCTCCACCGTACGCTCCTCGCCCTCCGCTCCCTCCACCTTCATATCCTCCTCCCCCGTATCCTCCTCCACCGTATCCTCCACCACCGTATCCTCCATAGCCGTAACCGTAATCACCATAGTCTCCGTAATCATCGAAGCGGTTTCTGCCTCCAAACTTCTTGAAGGACGCTATCCAGAGAGCGCCGAGACCGAAGTAGCCCGCGTAGATGAAGCCTGCCGCGTGTGCCAGAGCCACGGAACCGAGCCCGTGTGCAGCCGCTGCTGCCGCGTACGAACCTGCGGTGGCCGTCGCAGTGCCAGTCACGACCACCATCATGCACTAGGGTGGAAAAAATGAATTATGAATTTAAACTAAAATTTTTACAGTTTCACAGGCAGTGTGATAAATTAGCCAGCTATGAAAACGGTTTCAGCAGAAAATAACCTAAAACCTATGTCGACATTTATTGAATTAACAAGTTTCCATTAGGTTATATGAAGATTTAGTTACTGCAGTCGCAGCTAGCATAGCAATCTAATATCAAAATACAGAATGAAAAAAACGCAATCAAGTGTTTAATAAAACAAATTATCCAATTATTTCCTGTCATTTCAGTCATCCATAAATTGCAGGAACCGTAACAATTTATATATTGATATTTACTCATGTTATTAACAATTTTTACAAACACAGATGGTAGATTTACAGTTTCGCCTTCAGCAGGGCCGCTCGATTGCTACACGCATAGCACGCGCTAAGATAAGAAGAGAAAGCTGCTCTGGCGTCCCTCGCAGTCTTGTCGTGTAATTATCTCTGCCAATCATTGCATTATTTTGCAAAATTAAACAGGAAAAAATCGAACTTTTATATTATTATGTAGACAAATTAAACATGAAAAATACTAACTTATATCACGATGTAGACAAATTAAGCATGGAAAGAAACGAACTTACATCATGAAAATTTCTTTTTGCATCAAATATTTGGCATCGCAATCATGCTGAAAATTGTCGTTTTATAAATACCTCGCAACTGTTTCCTCCAATCTCGCATAAACCCAAAGTTAGCTGTTGTATCTACACCTTCACTATTAAAAAATGGTCAAAGATTTTTTTCGCAAAAACAATTAACAGGACTATTTCTGGCACACATTCCATGATACATACGAGATCTGAATTTTATTTACCTGCATTTCATAGCTTGCAATTGAGAAATTGGATATAATGCTATAATAACTATTTCAAAATTCGGACCCTCGGTTTATTAAGATTTTTGCAGCAATTAAATATAAATTAAAAAAATTAGCACACAATAACCGCCGAGATGCTGACCAGCTTAGAACGTATTTTTTGGCACCTAAACTTTCTAGTGTCTTCGCTGCAGGATACGCGAGACTTTTACTTTCGATTGACGATATGATGAGACTAATGCTTCAATAAATAACAACTTGGACTTATCGGGTTAAATTATGCAATTGTGTACTTCTAGCAACGCCGCAATTTTTTCTAAACTTAATTTACGCTACCTGGTATTTATTACATTACCGCCATGAATTCATAAACCCCGATGCTAAGGTACGTCAAATTTTCCTCTATGTTCTCATAGTTCAACAAATGTAATATTTAAACTCATATATTTCTATCATATAACTGAATAAATTTAAATCAAACATTATATCGCGTTATACCGACACAAATAAGCCACTGACGTCAATGAAACCTTATTAAATCACGAATTTTTTGCACATTGCTCCTAACTCACCTTGCTTTATAATAATTCTTTGATCATTGAAAAAAATGTTTCAGAAGGAGGAGTCTAAAGGAAAGCCACAGATATCTTCACGTTCAGCCAGTCAGTCTCGGTGAATCTTTTAAAGTCCACAAGATGGCGGCACAGCGTTCACTTTCTCTCACTGCAAAGTCTTAGTGACTGGAACAGCGCCTCGGCTTCCCTCACCTTTTAAACAAAGTGAAGGGGAATCCTGTGCCTACTTGGTCTTCTGTCTTAGGGTATCAATCCACTAGTGATTTGATCCATGCCCGTAGTCGTGGCAGTATAATAACCGTGATAATGTATCACGGTTATCTACTGCTGCTATACATAACAACATGGGTGTGACCATTTATGTAAATAGCAGAAATATCTTTCCAGATGAGGCCAATTTCGCATTTTCTTACTTGAATTCTATGTTCCCATTCGGATACTATTTTTTTAAGCATTCATTTTTTGTATCATTTTTGTAACGGGAAATCCTCGTCTTCATCATTCTTGGTCATTTATTCATCTTCCAATGTGGACCTTATTAAGTACTGTAAAATTCCAATACACGATGAACAACACCACGTCGGATATATCATTGATATCCTGTCAGGCTAATGCCAAAGAAATATTCTTACCATTAAATTTAAATAATCATACAACACATGACGTAAAAAATATTTGTCACTCTCAACTTCACTTGCCACTAAAAATATGACGTGATATCAGTCATCAGTCAAAAATTGCACGAAATGTGACGCTGGGTCATTGTGCATATTTCCATCCGGTACTCGCCACAAAAAGCGATGCTTCTACGGAAGCACAATTCGTTTGCTCAGGGGTGGGGCAATGGAAACTATAGTTATTAGTTAGTTAGTTGAGAGTAATTCATTTGTGATTTAACTATAATCATCAATAATATATGAGTGTTAATCTTTTTATGGATCTCGCTATGAACAACAACAACAACACTCGAACATTGCGATTATCGCGTCAGGCCGTGTTTTCAGCTCGCACGGCATAATTCTCAACTCAGAAAATTATTTTATTACTTATACCATTTAAAGAATATTAACACTTTCTTCTAAATGTTGTAAGTTTTTCAGTTTTTAATTTTCTCATAAGAAAGTCTCTTGGATTTAAAAAAATCCTGTCTTACGAGTGCAGCTGAGTGCAATGTCAGAAGTTTGATTATTTCATATCGTCTTTTATGTTATATGATCAAAATAGCTGGTTTTGGATCGGCGAAAACTTAGCTCTTAACTGAAAGATACCGAGAACATAATTGTACTGAGAAAAAATTTATAATCCACAATTAATGTGTTTGGAATGGAACATAATACTCCAGAAATCGAAGCCGAAGAAATAAAAATTAAAAAGCGAATTTGTCAAATCAATTAGATTTCTTAGAGTAAGTTTTGCGAGCTTACGACGCTCATTTGAAATAATTGACTGAAGTTGTTCAAATTTTTAAATTTAAGCTTAGAGATTGATGATAGATTAATTCAATCTATAATAAAGAAGAATGTATAGAATTATATTAATGCCATCTAGCAATCAATACCTTGCATGAATACCGGACAGTAAGTCGGTAAGTAAAAAATAGTGTGTTATATAGAACGAGCAACAATGTCGAGTAGCCATTATAAGCCGAGAACGAAACTCCGAATGTTTAAAACTTTAGTTGGTCGATGTGAAAAAATCTAATTTGCAATATTAATCACATAGTATTACATATATGAATACTGAATAGTTGAAGATCGCATCGAAAAGTTTTCAAAAATACAAGATGAATTCAAAATATTTCATTTTAAGGTGAGCGTAAATTCACAGAAATATTCATTACACGACTTATCGTACCAACCATTACTTATTACTCGAACGAATACGAATTTAAATTTGAATATGGAATATTGATCATACACAGAATAATGTTGGACCGATTGCATGATTATTATCAATAATATTCATTTTCAATGGTGCTAAACAATAAAAAATTGAATTTTAAGCTTGTTCAGTTGCTGACTCGTTCACTTTATGTTTCAAGATTTTCTCTACGTTTATTTTTTAAGGCTTTAAGGTGGTTTTATTTGTTATAGAAACGCTCATATCTATTTTTCATCATTTATTTCGAAACTATTATGGTACATTTCGGTGGGTCCTCATCGTTTCTTGTAAAAAATATTGCGTCAAGTAAAAAATTGTGTAATAAAAACAAGTCATGAGCTGTGATTTATTCCCTACTGAGTCTTCCAAAGAATACGGTGTTAGAAAATTAGGCTAGTATGTTTATTTACATATGTATGCTGTAGCGTCAGCTATAGTTATAGACTGAACACATAAAAAATAATGTACAAATTGAAAAACTCAATTTATGTCGCTAATTTGTAGGCGAAATAATCGATGGATATTTGATGAAATCATTGTCATAAGTTAGTTATAACTAAATTTACATGATTACGCATCAGATTATTAATTTATTTAAAGAAATTTTACGAAACCGAATTCACAAAACGAAAAAAATATACTCGTGGATTAAAATTTTGTAATGTTAAGGTGGAAATTTTGTTAGTATATCTATTTCTTACAAAATAATTACTTTCAGTATTGATTAAGAAGATTATTACTGCATATACACACTTGTACTTTTTATAATGCATCTACTTCTCTTGAGGTAGTACAAGTATGTTTGGCACGAGCTTTATGTTAGTAAGTAGGATTTAATTAAGCAGGAAGGTATCATAAAAAGTATGGAATTATAAATAAAAAATAAATCTTTGTTGACTATTTGATTGGGAATTTGGTAGTGCATAGATCATCAACTATATTTAAAAGAATGTTTATTCAAGCGTAACGAGAAGTGACAATGTGGACAAGACTGCATAGTATGCGTTATCCAAATATTCCAGCGCATAATATGCGACGTAAAGCTCCATCACAAGTATATTTTCAATGTAAATTACTTAGAAAATGTCTGTTTTCTCCCAAAGTTTGCATTTTATATCCTTACTGAATACAATGTCTATCCTTTGGCTGGCGCTATTTTCTATGAAATATATAGCATCATTAAAAATTATATGAGCAAATTATACAATTTATTATCTCTGCCTCCGTATTTCAGAAATAACTGACATCATGTCTCTGCCACTTGCACGACACGACTTATATTTTCTGCCACAGCTTCCTCCTTGGCCACCGAAATCCGCTGCTGCTTGGTAGTCCCGCAGCACAGAGCTGTCCGCCTTGATGCCTTTACCAGGGAACATTTCATTGAAGAGCTCGTCTCCATTTCTGAAGTGGGATGAATACATTAA